ATCAAAACGTAATACTTGCAGGGGATTTTAACTGTGTCCTAACTAATGAAGATGTCAAGGGGAGAGAAGTCCGGACACAGCAAAGACGAACTGCAAAAGACACACCATACCAACTTGACACTATACACAACATAATATCAGCGAACAAACTAAAAGACTCTTTCAGAAGCAAACATCCGACAAATACGGACACAACACACAAAAACTCAATATGGAAAAGTCAGGCTAGGTTAGATAGAATATATGTACCAAACACACACCATATTATAGAAGCCACCCACCTAGAAGAAACACTAGAATACACTGATCACAAAGGTATTCTAACACACATAAATACGGAGAACACGACACCAACAGCACAAAAGAAATCAGCACACTGGATTTTTAATAACACACTCCTCAGTGATTCAAACTATGTAGAGTATATGACAGAACACATTCTTGATTATGTCAACAACATACCTACAACCAACATAGAAACTTTTTGGGACTATTTTAAAAATTCAGTAAGTGAAAGGACACAAAGACTCGCATACATAACACACAGAAGAAGACTGGAAAAAGAAAAAGAACTAAAAAAGGCAATAATTTTAACCAAGGAATATAATAAAGACTCACCACATATAAAAATCCTAGAAGCCCAGTTAGAAACACACCAACAATACAAATACTCAGGGGCACTAATAAGGACTAAATTACCATTAAAAAATACACCAAATATACAAGATCTAAAAATAGAAAACAATATTCAAAGAAACAAACAAATAAATAAAATAGTAGACATGAAAGGTCAAGCACAAACAGACCCAATAAAAATAACAGAAGCCTTTAACGATTATTACGAACACCTTTTTAAAGAGGAACCAACGGACACCAAAACACAAGAAATTTTTCTCCAGTACACCAAAAAACTATCGGAAGCAGAGACAGAAATACTAGACACAGAAATAACATTAGCAGAAATAACACAAGCAATCAACACAATGAACAAAAATAAAACAGAACACCCGGACCTGATGGTCTAACAACAGAATTCTACCAGCACTTCTCTCCTATCATAGGACCTCTCCTTCTCAAAGTCTATCACAGCGCCTTCAACAGACAACAATTACCAGAAAGCTTCAACACATCATACATAACATTAATACCAAAAGACAGCACAGACAAAACCCTCTTAAAAAACTACAGGCCAATATCCTTGTTAAACACAGATTACAAAATTTTAGCAAAAATTTTAACCAGTAAATTAAAGCAGGTAATGATAAACCTCATACACCCAGACCAACAATGTAGCGTCAAAGATAGAAACATACACAATCACACACACTTTGTAAGAGACTTCATACAATATGCTAAGTACACAAACAGTGAAACATCAATGTTATCCTTAGATCAGGAAAAGGCCTTTGACAGAATATCACACACATATCTTTTTAAAATGTTAGGAAAATGTAAAGTGGGTCCGAAATTTATAAAGTGGATAACAATACTGTACCGGGACCCAGAGAGCAAGGTATTGGTAAACCACACACTCACTACGGGATTCCGGCTAAAAAGATCTGTGAGACAAGGTTGCCCACTTTCTCCGCTCTTATATGTGCTGGCTCTTGAACCTCTGTTAGAAAAAATTAGACAGGACACCGATATCAAAGGCACCAAAGTACCTAGGGCGGGAGAAAGAAAGTTAATCGCTTATGCAGATGACACTGTTTTTTTCCCCTCCAGAATAACTTCAATCACAAAGATATTAGATACATTTAAAGAATTCGGGAAGGCAAGTGGTGCTAAAATAAATATAAATAAATCATATATAATGGGCTTGGGCTCTTGGATAAATAAAGCAGATTTTCCCCCAGAACTCTTAACTACTAAAACACTTAAAATATATGGCATAAATTTCCAAAATAGTCCAGATAAAATACACAATCATACTTGGAAAATGCTAGTGGCGAAAATAAATAAAATAATTGAGATGCATAAATACAGAACAAATACAATATTTGATAGAAGTAGAATAATTAATACGTATGTAATACCAAAAATAATATATATAGCTACCGTAATAGAACCCCCAACAAAAATATTAAAAGAAATAAATAAAATAATAAGGCCCTTCTTATTTGGCAGTACAATATATGCTATCCAACAAAAAACATTATGTCAGAGTAAACTACAAGGAGGAGTAGCTGTACACGATATTATCACTAAAATTAAATCCCTCAGACTTAAATATATAGGACAAATTATAAACCACCCAGAAAAATACCCACTAGCGCTTTACTACATAGATTTAAAATTAAATCACCTCAGGAAAGTAGATAACAGATCACCACATTTTGCAGGGCCTCTCCCCTCCTTTTATAGGAAATGTCTTAAACATCTAAAAGGAAATGAACAACTACTACAACAGACAACAAAACAAATTTATACACACTTAATAACACAACAAGCACCTCCTCTACACACTAGAATCAAAAGAGGCACAGCATACCCTAGGACCAGTCACTACAAGTCCTTTGTAAACATACACAAACCATTTATAAGACCAGTGGCAAAAGAAATAATATATAGATTAATTTTTAACCTTACACCGACCCGAGAAGGAATAGCCAAAAAACTTGGATGCAAAATACCTTGCAAACTATGCGCACAAAAAATACAAGAAACGGAAGAACACATTTATTACAAATGCTCAACAGTACAGACAACACTTCAAATCTTAAAAAACATCATTTTCTTATACACAACAACGCAAGCGGACATCTACAGAGCCATATTTTTAAATACAATCCCAAAAACTAATAAAGAAAATCAAGAAAAGATTCTATCGGCACTGGCAGAATATCGTGCTTTGATATGGCAGTATAGATGCAATGCTGTGTTTGAAAAACAAATGTACACTCCAAACCATATGGCTGACCATTTTCACTATATATTGATGGGGATTTTTGAATAACATCTTGTGCAAAGGTATAGCAAAGGTATAAAAAGGGGAGTTTCTTTTTTTGGGCGTGGGGGGGGGGGGGGGGGGGGGGGTTAGAGAAAAAAAAAAACTGATCAACGTGCTTGTCTTTATGCACTGTTTTGTCCCAGTGAGACAAAACAGAACACATGTTACACTGCAGACTAACAGTACATTTTGTTAAAGTCAGTGGAATGTGGAAGTCTAAGTCATTCTATCTGGCGGGAAGTTTCTGCCTTTCAGGATAGTTTCAGGGACATTTCTCCCACGACGCCATTTGGCCCTATGGATGTCACCAAAGGCAATAAATTTGTCACTTGAACACTGCAAAACAGAGAATGACCTGGGTTTGACACAGGCTGTCCAGCGATCCTGCAATTTGATAGCCATGGGACAGGAATCCTCACTGTGTCAGGAAACTCCTAAGCGAAACATTTTGGGAAATTTACTTGCTTTTTTTTTTGAGAGAAAATGTTTTTTTTTTTTTTTCATGGATGTCCTGTACATAAAATGCTACTGATGTTTTATTCACCATATCATGCAATTTAAAATATGTAACTGGAAATTTAAATCCCAATAATGTACAGCTCCACTTAAACTCCCCTTTGCTGGCAGCAACTTGTGACACTGGTGTAAAAGGCAAACTAGGGTTTCACCCTTCTGTCCCCTTTCCTTCCTTGCGCTGCCTGACCCTGTTTTCACTCGGTTTTTGTTTCCCCATCCCCCCCCCCCCCCCCTCTTTTAAACCCTTGTTTGTTTTTCTTATTCGTGTGTGTGTATGTGTCGCCCCCACCCCCTCACCCTGTTCGCTCTCAGATGTAAACATTGTTTAAAGTTCCAAATACTACGAAGGTACACGAAATCTTGTATGTATATCTATTTGACTAGCATCATTTCGTCATCCACCAAGAAAGGTAAAACGAGTGGCCCCATTTGTGTCCGTCTTCCTCACGCTTTTTGCCCCCTTGCTGCTAAACTGTGTTTTCTTTTCCCTCTCTTCTCTTCTCTTTTTTTTTTTTTTTTGAGAGTCTTTTTTTGTGTGTGCGCCCTCCCCCTTTTCCTCACCCACTTTGCTCTCCAATGGGAAAATTGATATGTTCGAAAGTTTGTTTAATTTTGGATGCGATGTTCGTAAAGTCCCCATTCGGCAAAAAATGTAAATTTTTGAAGCAATTATCCAAATATCACTGTTACAAATGTTGGAAAAATTGAAGCTAAAATGTTAATAAAATGAGTGGCCTGTCTATCTTCCTTTCCGGCACCTCATCCCTTTCCCGCCCCTGTCCGCCTGCTGTGTGGTTGTGTCCTTTCCTGTTCTCTGGTGTTAGTATACAGTTTCGTAAAGTCCTTTTGTGTCCCCTCCAACCCCTACATAAACTGCTTGAAATGTAAAATATCCAATGTTTCACCCTTTCACAACATTTGATGCTGACCGAAAGGCAATATAAATAAAATGAGTGGCCCTGTCTATCTTGTCCGTCTCCTCCCTCTCACCCGTTCCCCGCCCTGTCCGCCTGCTATGTTTTCGTGCCCCCTCTTGCCTCTTTGTTTATATGTTCGCAGTCACGCATACACATGCAACATAAATACAAACACGAAGCAACGCTCTGTAAATATTACTGCACAAAGATACGCACACCGCAGACGCTTGTAAATATAACACGTACAATACAGTTGACACGCATTTATTGTATACAGACGTTTTACAGACAAATAAACTTATTGAACTTAAAAAAAAAAAAAAAGCCCCAAACCGGCTGTCGTCGAGGGATTTAAGCTAACGGTTATACGTTTTTTTTTTTTAAAAGGGGGGGGGGGGGGGGCTTGCGAGACTCTCATCCAAATGGTAGAGTTTTGTGTCACCGGGTGTTTATCACTTGTTGTGCCGTCCTGATGGGGTTGAACGTCAGTCTGTCAGTGAGTCAGTCTGTCAGTCAGTTATGATCTTTGGGTATATGATGCTTATCCCTACGTGAATCGACCAGCCAGGATTGGATAGGTTATGTGGTCCATATAGCGCTGGCCGTCTTTACTTACCCTAACATTTCCTGGTAACTATTTCAGCAAATGTGGACGGAGATTCAATAAAAGACATCAAACAGAGAAGCAGTCCACCGTGGCTGCCTATCTTAGATATTAACACTGCAGCGTGTCTTACCATCTTCATCCTGCTGTGTGCCAGCTCATGCTCCAGCTGCAGCCTCTCCTTGGCAGCCACCTTGATGATGTGCACCAACTCCTGGTTCTCCTCAATCTGGAGGGCTTTCTGAAACATCAGACACCCCAACAATCAAATGGTATTTTTTTTTTTTTTTTTAATTTAAATATAATTGGAGAATGGTGCAAACAGACAGAAGCAAGACCACTTAGGACGCTGACACTACTGATTGATGGTAGACTCTGCCACACGACCACGACAATCGACGAGATGAGACCAACCTCGTCAAGAGACCTCAGCCCTCCACCACCCAAGACAGCAGGTTACACTAATCTAGTGCTGGCTGCTGTTGCTCGCTTGATTATTGTACCCAACCAGGACATCACACAAGCGATAAACACCCGGTGACACAAAGTGCCACCATGCGGATGAGGATAACCCATGGAGAGGTCCCAGAAATCCCTTTCAGTCGTTATGGCCACATTTGTGGCCTAGCTTTAAATAACGAAAAAATGCGTCCCTTTTGAAGAAAAAAATTATACGTCTATTGGTTGAAAACATGGTTTACAATATTTCATATACATTTACAAAAACAAAAATAATAAAATTGTAAAAAATGATGATCTCGTACCCATATTCCACCAACATTTCTAAGAGAGTAGCGTAAAGCAGGAAACAGAAATAGACAGCGGGGAAGAAAAAGAGGGGTATTCTTGATTCTTTGTTGGTGCCCTGTTATGATGGTGGTGGTGGTGATATGGTTACATCGTTTATATTCTTTTTGTTTTTTTTTACATCTTTAGAAAAACAAATTAAGGGTGGTGTTAATGAAGCATATTTAAATTGACCTCACACCTCACCATCATTTGACAGAGAAGGAGAAAGGGTGGGGGGGGGGGGAGAAGGACTGGGAAGGGCAGGAGGAAAGTGTGGGGACCATTCATTTTTAATGCTGGTGATCTGTGTGGTGATTTTTATTTTTATTTTAATGTTTAAATTATAATCGTTACAGTTTGCGAACTCCACTTTTTGAGTAACATCATACGATATAATGCTACGTTACTAGGTTATTCTCTGGTCTGCCTATACTCTTTAACATTTTTCAGTTAGAAACAGTCAATTCGCGGGAATGAAAAATTGCATCCCACATGGAGACGCAGCGATATTACAATGGCTGTTGTCGCAGGGTATCCTAATTATAATTTATTGGTTAAACGTGGTTTTTGATTTGTATATGGTCTATTGACATCCAGTATAAGGCTCATTTGGGTCGTTGTTGTATCCAGTCTTTATGTAGCAGTCAAGAGGAAAATGTACCAGTCAGAGCACCACTACCACACGATGAGAACGATCACCACCACCACCACCACCAGAACAACAACAGTAAAGTGTTAAAGGATAGAGGAATATTCTGTCGGTGGCAGTCACAATTAGTGGTTCTCGTAGCACGTCCTCAAACGTAGTTGTGAACATGGTGCTAGTTGCAAATGTTTTATAAAACGGTCAGTAATTGTTAGGTGAAAACTGATAACATTTCAGCCGCCTTTACTTCCTAGAACAAATCCGGGTAACCATTTAAGTCTGGATCGAACAGGGAGAGACTAGATTAATGTAAAAACTCCATCTCTATAGTTTTTCAATCTTCGACTGTCGACTTGGCGGCTTGTTTGAGAAATATTTGTCTCCTAGAACTGCCAATGAAGCTACAGCAGCTCGATGACAACAGTCAGACTAGCAATCTTTACCATTCAACAGAAGTTCCTTGTTCACTGCCAGGTTGTCTCTATTTCCCATCAAACATGTCTGTAAGTCGTACTTTACCTGGGGCATTCTGGCGTCTGCGCTGTGGAGAAGATCTGTCAGTTTCGGGCACTTCCTGTGCAGATTGCCCACGGCATGTTCCCTGACGCCTGCAGCTCTCGGAGATGTAGTCTGGGGATTACTCCCCTGTCGAGTCTGGATTCGCCTTCGAGGACTCAGCTCTGGAGGTTCATGGGGCACAGACTTGGCCTTCTGTCCATTCTGATGAAATGGAAACATACCATGACTATTTGTGAGGTATTTTTTACAATTTACAATATTACGATGATAGAAACAGAACATAGAACAGTTCCTTAGAGCCACTATGACTCAGTCTCTCTTCAAGGAATTGCTAGCCTATTGCTGAGATCGTCGCATAAAGCCCGAACCCTGTAGTCGTAACGACTATCCCCAAGTCCGACCATTAAAATTACACCTGTGAACCCAACAATTCAGTCGTTGTCAGAAACTCACGACTTGTCGAGCACAAGGCAAACGAACACTTGAACCACTTGACCAGCAGGTTTTTGCAGAATCTTTGCTCTCATCGCGTCCCAAAGGAAAGACTTCATTTCTCCTTTGTTCTGTCTCAAGCATATTCGTGCCTCTTTCTTGTATCTTCCAATGTAGTTGGTGGATTTGTTAGTTGGAGGAGGAGGAGGAAGGTGGAGGGGTGGGGAGGGGGTGGGGGTTGCGCGCCATGTTCAAAACTACTTCTAGTGATCCTTTGGTTATATTTGTCTGCTTTCTATGCGCCAACAGTATTGGTTGAGATGTGTTATTTGTGCCAAGCTTACTGGCGTTACTGGTGGTGTGTGTCAAAATCGATTGCTTTGTTTCCCTAGTTGTGTGCTGGGTTGTCCTTATCATATGCTAGTTTGTTGTTTAGTCGACAGATTATCATCCCTGCACATGACACATTCAGTCCAAAAGTGTTCGCATACCCTCCTCAGTAAATCCCACAGCGTGTAGCAGCTGGCGACACCAGTCCTATGTTACCATGTCTGGCCACAGCCCTTTAAACATGATTTGTTTGCAGTCTGATCAAGGTTGCACACTCGCAGTCACTTGGTTCTATTAAAGATCTTACTTTTCGAAGAACCTTTAGTATATCAGCCTGGCCCATGGCTCGTCCTTCTTTAACAGAAGCCTTAACTGCAAACCCACCAACTTGCTCATTTCCTTGCATGCCTGCGTACCCTGATTTGAAACCCTGATTTAAAAGTGATAGATGTCAGCCTGGGCCGCCTCAGAGGCACCACCCACTGTCGTCAGACCCAGTCCATCTGTATTTTTCTCAGCATACTCAGTGAGTCACTGAGAACAGCGGCGCAGGTGAGAGTCTTTCAAATGTATTGCTTTGGTAACTGCCATGACCTCCATGGTCAGACTACTTGTGGTCAAGGCAACAGCACCAGAATCTAGCTCCACAACTCTCTGACCAAGCTAAGCCGTAAAACCCAAACAGCTTCTCGTGGGGTGAACCACAGACCCATCTGTGTAAAGGCCTTTCATGTGTAATGTCAGTCGTATTTAAGTTCTGTTCTGTAGACTGGGGCGGGAAAACGAAAGTCTTCTAGCGATATCTGGGTCAAACTGACAAGGGCGAGACAGATGTCTAGCCTTGAGTACTGTGACCACCATCTTTCTTAGAACCAGTTCTAGGCTAGCTCAACCTGAGACCTCTGGTCACTGTTTAGAACGCTACTTGGGCTGCCCGTAAGTATATAAGACAACACAAGAGAGGTCACCTTTACCCCGTAAGTATATGAGATAACACAAGAGAGGTCACCTTTACCCCGTAAGTATATAAGACAACGAAAGAGAGGTCTGCCTTTACCCTGTAAGTATATAAGACAACACGAGAGGTCTGCCTTTACCTTGTAAGTAAATAAGACAACACAAGAGTGGTCTGCCTTTACCTTTAAGTATATAAGACAACACGAGAGTGGTCTGCCTTTAACTTGTAAGTAAATAAGACATCACGAGAAGTCTGCCTTTACCTTGTAAGTAAATAAGACAACACAAAGAGTGGTCTGCCTTTACCTTGTAAGTATATAAGACAACACAAGAGAGGTCTGCCTTTACCTTGTAAGTATATAAGACAACACAAGAGTGGTCTGCCTTTACCTTTAAGTATATAAGACAACACAAGAAAGGTCTGCCTTTACCTTGTAAGTATATAAGACAACACAAGAGAGGTCTGCCTTACCTTTAAGTATATAAGACAACACAAGAGAGGTCTGCCTTTACCTTCAAGTATATAAGACAGACAGACAGACAGACAGACAGACAGACAGACAGACAGACAGACAGACAGACAGACAGACAGACAGACAGACAGACAGAGACAGACAGAGACAGACAGACAGAGACAGACAGACAGAGACAGACAGAGACAGACAGACAGAGACAGACAGAGACAGACAGAAGACAGACAGACAGACAGACAGACAGACAGACAGACAGACAGACAGACAGACAGACAGACAGACAGACAGACAGACAGACAGACAGACAGACAGACAGACAGACAGACAGACAGACAGACAGACAGACAGACAGACAGACAGACAGACAGACAGACAGACAGACAGACAGACAGACAGACAGACAGACAGACAGACAGACAGACAGACAGACAGACAGACAGACAGACAGACAGAGAAAGGGAGACACACACAGAGAGAGAGAGAGAGAGAGAGAGAGAGAGAGAGAGAGAGAGAGAGAGAGAGAGAGAGAGAGAGAGAGAGAGAGAGGTCTGACCTTACCCGGGATTCCCTATCTTGTAACCACCTGACCCGTTCTTCTAGTCGTCTGTTGATGGCGGCCAGGTTGGCGTTGCGTTTCCTTAACATTCGGACTTTCTGCTCTAAAAGTCTCTGATCGCTTTGTTTCTTTCTCTGAAAATTTTGAAGGAAGAGTTCTTGAATACTAGTGTAAAATACAGATAGAATACGCAAGAACTAGCGAAATGTGTGAGCAGTAATGGGGGAAACAGAGGATAGAAAACTTAAAACTTGAAGGGGAAAAAAGAAGTTTACATTTAGGCATAATACGCGAAAATTTGTGGTATCAGAACGATGATATCAGTAATAGAGTCGGCACAGAATCAATACTGAACTGTATCGGTAAACAACAGATCAAATGGTTTGGCCATGTAACAAGATTGGCAACAGACGGGACACCACAGAGGACAATGTCATACAGATATCGCGGTAACAAGACCAGAGGTCATCCGCGCAGAAGATATCGGAGACACTGGAAAGTACTATTTACTAAGCGAACGAAATGGTCTGTTCCAGGTATCTCTTCCTGTCCTGAGAAGAAGTCTAGAAGTTGAGAAAAGAAGAAGAGAAGAAGGAGAGGAGAAACTGGGGAACTCAAAGAAAATGTTGCAGATAGAGTAGACGAGGCCTGGCTAATAATGTTGCAGACTGAATACTATGTAACTAGCTGGACATGTTGTAGACTGAAAACTTGAAAATAATAGGAAAATGTTAAAAGGGAATTCTTGAGAACTCGCAGTAATTGTTCTTGACATAAAAATAATAATACTCAAGGATTCGTGTTAAAAAAACTACGTCAGAACAACAAAAGGCCCTGGATACAAAAGAATGACGCTGCTCACACATTACAGTTATCTTTTTAAAGATCTAAATCATCTACGCTTTGCACATTTTCTATCTTCTTTCATTTCTTCCTTCCTTTTGCTAAATTCTGTCTTCATTCCTTTCGTCTGTCTACCTTACATGTCCTCCCATCCCCGCTTTCTTTCCCTCTCCCTGTAACTATTCCTCCATTACAACACAGTATGTTTTGTGTGTGCTATGTCGTCCTAACCAGGTCACATATGGACAGCTCTACCCAGCACATGTGTGACCCTAGAATATTGATTACCAGGTGACATATAGTATTGTTTGACGTATACATTGACACACACATCGGAGTTTGAATGTTAAATATTGATCATTTATTGGCTAATCGTTCCTCTTCTGTCCTGGAGTAGAGATATGTCTGAAATTCTTCTGCTATCTTTCCTCTTCTTTCCTGGAGTATGGGTTTATCTTAAATACTGTTTTATCCACTGCTGTGTCCGTATTTTATAGTCATGTTCTGTATTTTTTTTTTCCTGCAGTCTGCTTACATTTTTTGCGTAAATATACTTCACCAAGATATTTTTCTTCATTAAAATTATTTTCTGCTCGGAGAAGAGTCAGGGGTTTAACAGCATGGTGGTGGGCACAAGACATTCTTACCACAGTCAAAAAAAAAAAAAAACAATGAAAATACACGAGGTAGAGTAACAAGCGAAATCTCTGGCGTCTTAATTGATAGCCAAGTAACAGCAGTGACTTGCTATGTGGTGGTGTCCGGTGGGCCATGACGATAGCTAAACTTCACAAACTACCTGTTACATGACGATAGCCAAGTTGCACTAGTGACCCGTTACGTAACGATAGCCAAGTTTCCAAAAGAACTAAGTAATGATAGCCTAGTTTTACCAATAATCTCTTATGTGATATGGCCAAGTTTTCCAAAGTACCTGTACTCTGCCAACTGGCGTAGGTGCTCATGCGTCTCCACATATCAAGATCCCTGGTTGCCTGGAACAGCTCTCTTAATGATATCCCTCCATGCCATCGTTTCAGCCCATCCAGCATCTCTCTCTTGGTCTGCCTCTATCCTTTTGCCACCGATCTTTCCAGTTGACACTATGTTCTCTGGTGTCTCTCTTCTCATAATGTTGCCAAAGAACAGTGTTTGTCTCTTTCTTATTGTTGTATATAGAGATCTACTTTCATTAGCCTCTTTCAAGCAATCGTAAAACAGATGCAGATTCGAAACTCAGGTGCTGGAGCAATGTGGAAATCCAGAAATGGATGAAATACCCTAGACTTTTCACTGGAGTTTACAGCTGACGATCGTCAACAAAGAAAGAAACAACAAACCATTAAACAAACAGTGATAAATCAGACATGCCATAGCTCACCAAAACATCGTTCTCTGCCTTCAGCATGGACATACATTTCTCCAGCCGCTGCAGCTGTGTGTTCAACTCTGCTAGTTTGTTCTGCAGCATCTTCTCCCTTTCCTTCGTCTCCCTGCCAGGCTAGATGAAGTTTTCAGACAGACATTTAATTACGTTAGTCAGTCAGTCAGTCAGTCAGTCAGTCAGTCAGTCAGTCAGTCAGTCAGTCAGTCAGTCAGTCAGTCAGTCAGTCAGTCAGTCAGTCAGTCAGTCAGTCAGTCAGTCAGTTAGTTAGTTAGTTAGTTGGGTTATCATCATTGCACTCCGTACATGTCGACAGGCGCCCAGATCCACCCCTTAGTATGAACCTCCACGTCCGATGGCTGATAGTAATAGTTCTATGTTGATTAACAAGTCTTCTGGCGTGTCTGGTGTCCGTCTCGTTTTTTGCTATGCCGATCTTAATTCCCAAGTCTGCCATTCTGGCGAGTGATGTGGATTCACTGCCCCCCAAAGTCCTCTATCCTTCCCATTTCTCTGAGGGCATTGATAATATCAGCGTGATCCATAGGCTGACCGTCGGTAGTGATAGCTTCATTTTCAATGTGGTTGAAATATGTAATCATTCCTTCTATGAAAAGAAAGCCAGAGATTCGCAATGACCAGCCCACTCACTTGCTCGCCGGACCAACATGTAGATCTTTAATAGTAATAGTAGTAGTAGATTTTTACCCCACCAGGACATCACACAAGCGATAAACACCCGATGACACAAAGTGCCACCGTGTAGATGAGGATAACCGTGGAGAGGTCCCAGAAGCCGCGTTTAGCCTTTAGACCATATTTATAGTCGGGCTATATTGCGGCCCCTGGCAAGAGCCAGAATAGGGCTTCAAATAACGAAAAATTGCATCTCACAAGGAGATGGCTGGATGTACATTAGATCTTTAATGCATATGGATGCGAGGTTTGAAAAATGACAAAGTCTTACAAATGTCTTTCTAAAACTGTAATAGGAAGAAAAAGCGGCCAATGTTTTAACTGACCACATCACCCATCAAACGCTGTATGTATTGTAAATCTTTGGGACTAGCATCATATGTTCATTACGACCCCAGGCGTGGGACTGTCTTATAGATAATAATTTGCAACACCTGTCTCAGTGGACCCACATCTGCTGCAGTCAATGTACCAGAGAGATAACTCCTGCGGGCGGCATTTCTGGCGGGTAATAAGTGATATCTGGTTATAAGAAGTAGGATATACGGCAAACATTCGGCGGGAACAAAAAAGGAAGAAAAGACAGATGAAACAGAATTTTAAAAAAGAGGAGAGAAACGAAGAAGAAAAACAGTACGTAAGAAAATCACAGAGCAGTGCACTCACTTGCCCTAGCAATCGAAAAGGTTGCTGAAGGCTGAGGACATGGTCTAAAGCCATGTGGATGTGGAAAGCAACGGGAAACTACCACATTACTTTGCCAAGAAACTCATCATGGAAGCCAAAAATGAAACTCAAAGATCTGATGGTGAGGCTCCCAGGCCAGGCAACTCGCAAACGCGAACTGGGGAAGAGTGACTCCTTGAGTGTAAAAGTGCATGAGGCGGGAGAACTGGCGAGAGACCGACTTTCTTTCAGATGAGAGCGACGTTCTGCAAAGGACCTGCTACATGATGATGATGATGATGAAGAAAATCATGTTTAATGGTCACTTCAAAAAGAGATGTATCATCATTGTGTTGCGTGTCATTTTTGAAACGTCATTCTAGTTATGGCAACTAAAGACACTGGAAACTGTGCCAGAACCTCGTCTCGTCTGGTGACCTCACGATTACTTTAATGTATGTCCGAAGTTAAACTGGTACTTGGCCAGCCCTGGACGCATCTTTCAGGGAAAAGTCAAAGATTAGAAGACACGTTAGTTGCAACATCGAAATCTGAACCTGCCACCCCTAAGTGGCAATACCATAGTGTTAAAGAAACAAATCCCCATGTGATCACAATAGCTTTTAGTCTGTTTCTACATTGAGTATACCGTTTATTGAATTACTACTACTAAATAACAACAACAACAACAACAACAACAACAACTACTACTACTACTACTGCTAATAATAATAATAATAATAATAATAATAATAACAATAATAATAAAAACTGTGTATGAGTGGCAAACATGTAATGTAACATTTGAAATATATTAACAAATATTTTGGAACAAATTGGAACACGCATGGTTAGGCAGGTGGCTGAATGCCCACACCATGTGAGCCAAGTATGAATTCGATGTCATATGATTATATGTGAGACTTAGATGTCATATGATTACAGGTGAGATATGGATGTCGTATGATTATAGGTGAGACAGATGTCGTATGATTATAGGTGAGACAGGTGTCATATGATTATAGGTGAGACAGATATCACATGATTATAGGTGAGACAGGTGTCATGTGATTATAGGTGAGACATGTCACATGATTACATGTGAGACATGAATGTGGTATGACTGCAGGTGAGACTTAGTTGTCAAATGATTACAGGATACACATGCGTGTCATATGATTACAGTGAGACATGCGTGTCATATGATTACAGGTGAAACATATATGTCATATGATTACAGGTGAAACATAGATGTCATATGATTACAGGTGAGAATGTCATATGATTACAGGTGAGCCATAGATGTCATATGATTACAGGTGAGCCCTAGATGTCATATGATTACAGATGAGACACAGATGTCATATTATTCAGTACAGTTACCTGTATGCAGGATTTCAACGACCGGTGCATGTTCCGCTAGCCCTGTGGCCTGGAGCTGCACTAAGATCAACACAAGAGATTAGGCTGTGAGGTGCCCAGACTCTTGTCCTTCACCATGATCACGGCCAGCCCATTAACTCCAGAGATATCGCTATCACAGACTTCGTCTGCAGTTGTTAACTAGTAGCTAGGTGCTCTCAGTTTGTTAACTTTTAGTCAGTTGCTCTAAGTGTGTTAAGTTGTTGCGAACTGCTCTTAGTGTTAACATTTGACTGCACTTGACTATGTATAGCTTGATAACTTTAGAAATACGAATAATTATACGATAACTTTTGAAATCCAAATAATCACAACATATTAACTTTTAAAATTTAAAAAAATGTAAACTATGAAACTTCTCCCATGCCACTCTGCAGGGGTAGAGAGCTGTCGTGGTGTAACGGCTAAACGCTCGACTGCGGATTGGAAAGTCGTGGGTTCGTATCCTGACGAGCCGACTTAAACGGGAAAAAAATAGGACCTTTGCTCTCAGGTCCACCCAGCCTTGATTGGGTACCAGGTACAGTCTTGGAAAGTAAAGGCGACCGGCCACATCACCCACCCAGTGCCGATTGGTCTATACAAAATAGTTCTAGCCCTATATGCCTAATACGAGTGAAGGCGTGGCAAGGGGTACTTTATTCTGCAGAGGTCAGTGCTAGATCGTTGTTCTTAACAGTTTGTTATTATGTTTTTAGAATTACTAACCGGTCGGCCTCTGTGGCTTAGACATTGCGAACGCGCTTCGTAATGCCGAGTTCGATCCCTGTTGCGGACGATTTGTTTTGCTCTGGTTTCCACAGGGGTACCGAGAGCTGACATTTCAAAAGCAATGACAAACTACTGAACGTAGCAATTTGTCCAGAAAAACCACAACAGCAAATAAATGCTGGAGTTGGTTCTGCAACGTCCTGTAAAGGATACGATACTAACTTTCAACTAACCCACTGCCGGGTATGGGGATGGGAAAGGTCAAGTTGTCAATGCTAATACCAAATATTTTAAAAACAGCAGCCGTTACGGTAAACAGTGTCAACGTTTTAATTAATATAAGCAATAACCGCTGGTCGAAACAACGCACTTTGGTGAAAGAACAAATAAATCCACTGAGAGAATGACACCACTATCTCATAAACTAATGTGGTAGCCACAAGTATATGCTTTCGTAGCCCGGACGATGACTAGAAGGGAACCAAGGCACTCACAACACGACAATGAGCCGGTGTTGACATGCTTTCGCCTTCACCTGGTCCCTGGATTGCTCACTTTCCCACGACAAAAACGTGAGCACAGCCGATATCACCAGAGGTGAGTTTAGCGCTTCTCCCCTTTTACAAGAGGGGGGCTGACTTCCTTAACTCTTGTAGTCTAACCTGTTGAACTTCTAGCTTCAGTGCAGCGATTATTGCAGATGATTAAACACAGCAAAACAATACAACACTGGTGAATGTGACTAGCGCGGTGTGTTTACGCTTCGTTGGTATTTACTGATTCTCATCATATGTATTACTGTTTAATACTGATTCTCACCCGTTGTATTATGTTTACTGATTCTCACCCCGTGCATTACTACCGTTTACTGATTCTTATCCCCCGTATTACTGTTTTCTGATTCTTATTCCCTGTACTATTGTTGACTGATTCTCATCCCATGTATCACTGTTTAATAATGATTACCATTCCTTATATTACCGTTTACTGATTCTCATCCCCTGTATTACTGTTTACTGATTCTTATCCCCTGTATTACTGTTTACTGATTCTCATCCCCTGTATTACTGTTTACTGATTCTCATCCCCTGTATTACTGTTTACTGATTCTTATCCCCTGTATTACTGTTTACTGATTCTCATCCCCTGTATTACTGTTTAATAAGGATTCTCATCCCCTGTATTACTGTTTAATAAGGATTCCCATCCCCTGTATTACTGTTTAATAAGGATTCCCATCCCCTGTATTACTGTTTGCTGATTCTCATCCCCTGTATTACTGTTTAATAAGGATTCCCATCCCTTGTATTGCTGTTTGCTGATTCTCATCCCCTGTATTACTGTTTAAAAAGGATTCCCATTCCCTGTATTACTGTTTGCTGATTTCCATCCCCTGTATTACTGTTTGCTGATTCTCATTCCCTGTATTACAGTTTAATAATGATTCCCATCCATCATTTCATCATTCGGTGGCTATTATTCGAATTAATATATATAAATTTTACACACATACTTTCGTAACAGATTTGAGTTATTTTCGTAAAATTGCAGTGCCAGAAATATCACAAAGCTAGGTTCTTATTAAATTTTAACAATGTGGCAGAACGCCAAAGACCACTGTTCAGCAGCTCGACTTGAAGAAACCTGGCCACTGTGTATGAAAAGGCCAACTCACCCAAAACCGGCAAATCTTATTATCTCCCCTCCTTTATAGGACGAAATTTTTCGTTATTTGAAGTCCTACTCTGGCTCTTGCCAGAGGCCGCTATATAGCCTGGCCATAAATATGACCTAAAGGCTGAACGTGGTTTCTGGGACCTCTCCACGGTGATGTTCACCCACATGGTGGCACTTTGTGTCATCGGGTGTTTATCGCTAGTGTGATGTCCTGGTGGGGTAGAAAGTCAGTCATTCAAAACCGGCAAAAGCAGACAGGAACAACAAAGGTCAGAATCAACCAATCAGAAAGCTCGCAAAGACGACGACAGGATAGAACCGAAATACAAATTACCCCCAGATGTGTCCTGACACAGGCGGGAACGAAACCATTTGACATAACAAAAGAAATAGAAGACCTATGACTCCGTAGACACCAATACTATGTCTAAACAATGCTATAGAAGGAAGAATCAATATTTGTTAAAACGTCTACTACAACAAGACACAATGGAACCAAAAGAAGCCACACCTGAACCAGTCCTACACAATAAGGATTGCAGTTATAGACATCAGCCATGTAGAGCTGAAAAGTCTGAACGTGATCGAATTGTCAGTTTTATTCTATAAAAGCAAGCAAAACCGGTCTCATTTTGGCTTCCGGACTAAACCTGCGCTCGCTCAGGGGCCATAGATCCACCCAGCTGTTGTGGCTCCGCACATTGGGTTTAACAGCGTGGGTACGGGCGATTGCACGGATGACCGGTTGCCTGGCTTATTTCATGTCGGTGGTATGTTTCCATAGTTAAATATGAATTTGTTTCTAGTAGTTAAACTGTGTGGGTAGATTTATCAGTGTGTATCCTCGCTCGGAGATAGTTTGATTGTAGGCAGCTATAAGCGACTTACGTGTCTGGTGGCAGATTAAAGCTTAACGTACATGTTAATATGTCTCAGTTTTTATCATTGTTGAAGTAATTTTTCGGAGCTTATGCGTTCATTATCCTATTTCCTTGTTAGTAGAGAGAGAGTGGAACATAGTCTGGTCGAGCACGTGGATGATTGTTAATGTTTTGTTATTTGTGAACAGCTCTTAGATTTGTGTTGAGTTCAGTAAAATAAACAGCTGTTTAATGTGATGATTATAATTAATTTGCTTGATTCATTTTAGGATCTGCAGTCCGTGCACTTGGTTTGTATAAGTGTGTGTAGCCATCTTGTGTGTTATATAGAGTTGCTCAGATATCCTTTGTCTGGGTTCTGGCGAAATTTTCCATGGCCCCTACGCAGAAGAACCCCTTGTCTTTTCTTTACTTTTCCCGTTTTTGCTGTTCAGCGGAGAACTATTACTTGTTTTCCTAATCACAATTTTCCTTAGCCTCCTACTTTCCGTGTTTTTCCTTTTCTTTCTCTATGCTAGCACATTAATAATAGAAATAACTAAACAAGTCTACAAAATATAAAAGTTTGAGAGTCCTTGATGTAAAATAGCGAAACAAAACAACAAGTTTATTATCTACTCCCTTTGGGAATACGAAGTTAGACAGTACAAATTTATGAAAATCAAAAGCATTCATGGATACGTCGTGAGTGTGTGACACAGAAAGCCACCTGTCACCATCGGCAGTCAAGAGGCTGCACACATGGCACGTTTGCACGAACACACTTCTAGCGTTGTTGTGAAAGTGGGACCTGATTCTGTTGTGCAGCCGATCAATAATGACTAATAGATATTGTCTGACTCCCACAAAGTGCAGTAAGACGTGGGAGGACAAATTTCCCTGCAGCCGGGTATATACTCATTTTTTGTACAGTAACAGTCACTCTTTATTTTTAACAAAACGACATCTGACTGCCCTCCCCTTCCCTTTCCCGTTTGTAACTCCCCTTTCCACCTACCCCCTCACCCTGGGGCAGTCATATGTGGTCCGATCTCAGAGATATTACGGTGAAGCTTAAAACGTTAACTTTTTTTTTTTTTTTACTTCACCCTCCTTTCGTTTGTGAGGCTTAATTTTCAAAGTTTAGCTGATTGTACTTTATTTAATTCTGATATACATACGTATGCATGTCACTACAAGTTTATCACACCCAAATCGCACTACACGTTGCTGTTTAACAACCGGAAATACTAGTACAATTGTTTTATACAGTGAACGGATTTCTGGATTTACTCCTATCAGATCCTCACCCTATTAGTGTCTCTTTGAGTCACCCTAGAGGAAGTAAAATACACGTAACAAATATGTAGGTGTTAATACATAAAGAAACATTCAGCCAGCACAGCACACCTGATACCAACATATAAGGACACATTAGGCCAGTGCAACACACCAGATATTAACATTTAACGACACATTGAGACAGTACAGCACACCAGATAGTAACATATAACGACATATTAGGCCAGCACATCACACCAGATAACATATAACAACACATTGGATCAGCACAGCACACCAGATATTAACATGTAACGACATTTTAGGCCAACACATCACACCAGATAATAACATATAACGACACGACACATTAGGCCAGCACATCACACCAGATTATAACATATTATCTGCAGTTTCCCACGTCGCCCCCAGACAAGGTCTAAACGGGTACAAGTGAACAACACAACTACTCCACTTGGTCGACATCGGACAGTCAAGACACGTAAAAGATGGATTAATCAAGTACAGGAGTAAGGCTTGTGGGGGTGCAGTTAGATCTAGGATGAGTATAAAAACACGTTATGACTACCAATATAGTCAGTAGTCCAGTCAATGTATGAATGAATGAATCAATCAAACAACCAATCAACCACCAATCTATTGACCAAATAGAAAAACAAGACATTCAATTATAAACAGACAATCAATAAAACAATCAACCAAACGATCAGTTATCAACCAAACAATCAATCAGTAAGATAAATTGGGGGGGGGGAGGGGTGGGGTGCTCCTGATCTACACTAAACATGGTCTGGCGCCACAGTAACAGTATTTACACAAATTACACCCTTTTCAATCCCAAGCGTTATAAATCAGATCGACACTTGTCGCTTACATGTTGCGAATGCTGTAATTCAGAGAAACCCGGTTCGGTTCCAACTGCTGTCGAATTGGCAGCAGTCCGCTTGGGTTTCAACCATAGTACGGAATGATGGCCGTTTAGTGAGCAGTGGCAAACTACTGAACGTAAAAGTGCCTAGTAAAATCACAAACATCCAAAAAGTGATGGGGTTGATTCAGCCGTGACCTTCGCTGGCGTCGGTTCAGCAACCCCTTGTGACGGATACGCAACTGAGTTATGAGTTATGAGTTATGAGCCGCATAAAACATTGATGAAAACAAGCACAATAATGGATGACAACTGAGCACTGATAACAATGTGTACATAAACCATGATCGTGAGACACACTTACCATCTCCTTGAAGACAACTGAGTTAGATTATCTTCACAGCCCTCCGGACACATCCCTAGGCGTTCAGATTCCCCTCTCAACATATTCACCAGCGTCGTGCGGTTAATAGTACCACCAGTCCTATGTTGGTTAACAAGACTTCGTGTGCGTCCGGTGTACTCGTGTGCCCACGGCCGGATTTAGACTTGGTGTGACCGTCTGCAGCAAGAAACGAAACAATCCTCCAAGAGGAAGTTGCTGTTTTGAAGTGGTTGGAAGTCCGCGGAAAACACCAGACGATCTTTATTGAGCCGATGGTGGCTCGTCTCTGGCTGCGACATCATGAGCGATTTTCAGGAATATACCGAGGTCGTGCAGGAAAACAGGGGTGCCTTGGTGAGACTGATAACTTCTAGGTTGTTTAGATGTGTTACCTTATAGCAGTTATGTCCCTAGTTAACCTCTAATCACCTGAGATGTCTGACTGTGAGTCGACTACCAATTGTCGCTAACGTCGCATTTCAAATTTTTCTTCAGTCTTCTATTTTATCTGGATAGAAAACACAGGGAAGGCAAAGCTTTTTGTTAGACAATTTTTGAGTAATTATTAATATACTCTCATAGTAGATATAACCTGCTAGATATGCGTGAAGTGTTACTGTTTTCAAATTTTCTATGCAAATTCTCTTTTTTTAAAGACCCAGTAGGTAGTCTAAAGAAAAGTTCTTGCTTGCCAAGTTGCCACCTTTCACTGACTTTCACTTTCACGTTTGCTTTGCTTTACTCCCCATACAAGCAAACAAATCTAACTAAAATCGGCCACATGATTCTAAAATTGTTTGTCTTGTCATGTCACTGAATGAAACTGGGTGTTAGTGTCATCTTAACTTTTACCATTCCAGACACTAACTGTCTGTCAACTTCTACCTTTCCATACATACAGACAGTGTCAACTTTTTTTTTTCAAACTTTCCATACCATGTCAACTTTTTTTAACCTTTCCATACACTGTCAACTTTTTTTTTTACCGTTCCTTACACTAAACTTTTTAAATATATTTTTTTTTAACCTTTCCATACACTATCAACTTTTACTTTTCCTCTGCCCTGCCTGTTACCTTTCCTGGCACTGTCAACTTTTATCTTTCCACACATGGATGGTGTGTCAACTTTTACCTTTCCCTACACTGTTACCTGTAGAATGCTGGCCGCCTCAAGTTACAGCGCAACAGTGTCAACTTCAAGAATGTCAAGACTGGTAAAGTGGACCAGTTCCAGAGTGGGGACATCCGCAAGGCGCAGTGGCTGAAGCGAGCCCGGGGTCATTGTCTCAAGTTCCTTCTCTCTAATGGGGCTATTCACAGATATGATGGCTTCAAGGAGATGGTAAGTGTGCCTCACGATCATGGTTTATGTACACATTGCCATCAGTGCTCAGTTGTCATCCATTATTGTCCTTGTTTTCATCAATGTTTTATGCGGCTATCCTCTGAGGCTAAGAAAATACCCTAACAGGGCCTCAATGTTTGTGACTGCTGCCAGGAAACTGCACTAAATATTCGGTAAAAAATGCGCGACTAGTGCCGCCGTGGTAACGTCGCGTCCGCCAAAGTTCCGCCCATAACCCTTCACTCAATAGTTTCACGGTTCCACTGTTGTGACAGATTCAGGTGGTGGTGTCGTAATTGCAATACTTCTTGCCCTAGCCTTTAACCTAGGACCCAGGGAGAATTTTAACCTAGGACCCAGGGGAGAAGTTAAACCTGGGACCCAGGGGAGAAGTTAAACCTAGCACTCAGTGTCGGAGCTGTTGACACCCTCGATGATTTGGGATCGCTATTCCGAGGAGTGTTTCCCCGCAGTATGTGGTATATTCGCTGAAAAGAAGTCTGCAGTTAACATATGATTGAGGCCCTGTTAGGGTATTTTCTTAGCCTCAATAATTTGGGACCGTTATTTGGAGGATAGCCTTTTATGCTTGTCATCCATTTTTCTACCCATTATACTCAAGGTTCACAATAGGCACCCATTTAAAATTTACATGTCTGTTGTCATTGATGTTGTATTCATGTGTGTTTGTGTTAACTCACTCCACAGCAGTGTATAAGTGTCAGACATTTGTGTTAACTCACGTCCACAGCAGTGTATATGGTCAACATTTGTGCTTAACTCACTCCACAGCAGTGATATTGTCAGATGTTTAACCCACTCCACAGCAGTGTATAGTGTCAGACATTTGTGTTAATCCACTCCACATCAGTGTATAGTGTCAGACATTTGTGTTAACTCACTCCACAGCAGTGTATAGTGTCAGACATTTGTGTTAACTCACTCCACAGCAGTGTATAGTGTCAGACATTTGTGTTAACTCACTCCACAGCAGTGTATAGTGTCAGACATTTGTGTTAACTCACTCCACAGCAGTGTATAGTGTCAGACATTTGTGTTAACTCACTCCACATCAGTGTATAGTGTCAGACATTTGTGTTAACTCACTCCACAGCAGTGTATAGTGTCAGACATTTGTGTTAACTCACTCCACAGCAGTGTATAGTGTCAGACATTTGTGTTAACTCACTCCACAGCAGTGTATCATGTCGCTGTTGACTCATAAGGCATTCACAGGTGATCTCCATTGCTGTTTGTCTGCTGCTTTTTTTGTGTTTACACTTCACTTCCCCGTTCTGTTGTCCTTCTCCAGGTTTTTCTTAGGTTGTCCAGTCATCTTTTCCCATCTGTTAACTCAACTCCACAGCCAGTGTATAGCGTCAGCACATTTGTTTTGTACTCACTCCACAGCAGTGTGAAGTTTCAGCTTCAATGTTATTTTGTAATCTGTGTTCCCAGTGAAATCCACAGCATCATGTTGTCAGACATTTGTGTTAACCTCAGTAACCAGCATCATGTGTATTTTGTCATTCATTTGTGTTCACCAGTGAAGTACCAGCATCATGTTATTTTGTATCTTGTGTTCCCCACTGAAGTAACCAGCATCATGTTATTTTGTATCCTGTGTTCACCAGTGAATAACCAGCTTCATGTTATTTTGTATCTTGTGTTCACCAGTGAAGCACCAGCTTCATGTTATTTTGTATCTTGTGTTAACCAGTCCATAACCAGCATCATGTTTATTTGTATCTTGTGTTCACCAGTGAAGTAACCAGCATCATGTTATTTGTTCTTGTGTTTCACCATTTGAAGTAACCAGCATCATGTTATTTTGTATCTTGTGTTCACCAGTGAAGTTAACCAGCATCATGTTAGTTTTGTATCCTGTGTTCACCAGTGAAGTTCCCAGCTTCATGTTATTCCTTCTTTGTGTTTCACCAGTGAAGTAACCAGCATCATGTTTCTTTTTGTATCTTGTGTTCACCAGTGAAGAGAACACCAGGCTTCATGTTATTTTGTATCTTGTGTTCACCAGTGAAGTAACCAGCATCATGTTATTTTGTATCTTGTGTTCACCAGTGAAGTAACCAGCTTCATGTTATTTTGTATCTTGTGTTCACCAGTGAAGTAACCAGCATCATGTTTTTTTGTATCTTGTGTTCACCAAAAAGTAACCAGCATCATGTTATTTTCACCAGTGACAGATTGATTTATCCAAGAAAGATTGTTGTCTCGTAGTTTTATTTATGCAACTTCTTTTACCTCAGTATTTATGTATCTGTAGATCTGTACATACTGTGTAAGTGCAGTTTATATAAACTGTCTGATTCCTGCAGGACTTTGATAAATTGGCCAAATTCATTTCAAATAATTATGCTGTCAGCCTGGAAAAGGTGGACCTGTCTCTTAAAGGCTGGAACTGGGGCAGTGTGGACTTTGAAGGTATTCATTATGTAGTTTGAGAATTTATCTGTTAGGTGTCATTTAGGAGAACTTATTTGTTTTATGACTTTAAGGATCTGTATATTATGTATTTGAGAATTTATTGACTTTCTGTTTAAGAATAACACAGTACCACACAAAGTCACTTAGCTTGAGTATCTTGAAGCGGCCAGGTCAAAGTCTTGTCAGTAGACTGGTGAGGCATGTGGGACCGGAGACTAAATACCCTCGGAACTCCAGGGGCCATAACTGGAGGGTTTTAGATAAAACTGTGTGTGCAGTTCAGTCCTCTAGGTGTTAAGTGCCCAAAGTAAAAATTCAGCGATTTCAAGAAACTTGTGGACTCTTGTCAGTAGACTGGTGAGGCATGTGGGACCTGAGACTAAATACCCTCGGAACTCCAGGGGCCATAACTGTAGGGTTTTAGATAAAACTGTGTGCAGTTCAGTTCCCTAGGATTTTAGATGAAACTTTGTGTTTGGCAGTTCAGTCCTCTAGGTGTTAAGTGCCCAAAGTAAAAACACAGCGATTTCAAGAAACTTGTATACTCTGTCCCAGGAGTGGCTAGATTTGATGGCTGTCACTTCCATGTCGTGGACACCTTGGTGATCCTAGGAATTAAAGTGCAATGGTGCTGGTTTCAAGACACTGTTCTGCACATCCAAAAGATGAAATCTGAACCTGTCAGCCAGTCGTAGACCCGTTTCACTGATGTATTTCATGCTACATCTCTTACATTTGATGGCGTAAACAATATTGCGGCTCATGCAATATAATGCTTCACGTATGTGGTAAAGTGTCTTACTGGAATTCCAGACTTGTCCCCTGAACCACATATGGACAAGTCCTGCATACAGGTCTGTGGCATGAGACCATGCCATGCATGCGACTTTACCTTTGATGGCTAACTACAACACGAAGATTGGAATGGTTGTGAAGAGATCTGGGGGGTCATGCATGAATGAACGTGAATTGTTCTGTCTTTATTGCCAAAAGTTACCATTTTGGGGCAAGGTGGAACAGTTAGGGGTTGGGCGGTCTTAAGCCTTTGTTTTCTTTTCGATGCAGCATGGCTCCCACCACAGTTGCTATGATCTGTGCAGGTCAGGATTTTACTTTTTAACCCTGACAGGAAAATCCATCACTTTACCAAAGATTCAAACCTGTGTCTCTTGAATAAGAGCTCAGAGTTCTTAGCCAGCTGCTCCTTGATGAATTATTCACTAGTTTATAAATCTTTTCCTAAACATCCCTTCAGCAGCATCACAGAAGCACTTGAGGGCACGTGTGTTTTACGGTAAAATGTGACATTAAAGCTGTACTTTCGGCCTCAGCTATGCTGAAACACCTATCTAATTAAATACAATAAAAAAAAGTAAAGACCCCTTTTCACTTCTTTAGGCGTATTGGGCATATGGGAAGAGCACCCATATTTTTACAGACCAGTTGGTACTAGGTGGGTGCTGTGGTCAGTATTACGCCGGCCATCTTTACTTCCCAGGACCTACATCCTGGTACCCATTTAAGACTGGGTCGACCTGCGACACCTCATATCATGATAAAAATCCACACTGCCAGCAGTGGGTTTCGATCGCGGTACGTTAGAATTACGAGTCGGACTTGGAAACGCCTAGGCCACGGATGACTTGTCTAATTGGTCAGCTTTAATTCTGAACGTAACTGTTTCCATATGTTCACAGGAAGTTCTCTCAATTTTAAAGTGGAAAACATCCCGGCCTTTGAGATTCCACTGACCAACGTCATGAACTCCACCACTTCCAAAAATGAGGTGACCATTGAGTTCCACCAGAATGATGACGCTGCCGTGTCCTTGATTGAAGTCAGGTTCCACATTCCACCCGAACCAGACAATGAGAACGATCCAGTCGTGGTAATGACTTGTTTGATTATTTCATTCCTTTTTATCTGTTCCTTCTATTTTATCATTCCCCCCCCCCCCCCCCCTTTTCTGTTTTTTTAAATTATCCTCCTGTCCTTCAGTTACATTTTCCCTGCTTATATACTCTGTCGTTCTCCTTCTACTTGTTCTTTACATAGTCAAACAGAGACATCTGGAGTAGGCTGTGGTATGTACACCAGCACAGAGTTATAGTCACAGCTTCAGCTAAAGAATCCATCATTGTTATGAGCAATCTCCCCCTCCCCCTCTTTCTATCCCCTACTCTCTCTCTCCCCCCCTCCATCTCTCCATCCTCTCTGCTGCTCCTGACATTGAGGTACTGGAGCTCTTTATGGGCTGCCACCTTTTGATAGTCTTGTTATTTGACCAGCCTATTTGTTACTTATCTTCTCTTTAAATATGTTGACATTCTGGTGCTGGCTCTCTTTGTTTCCTTGTTTAGCTTCAGCCCTGATCCAGTGATTGTGCCTCTGAACTTTTTTCTATACAGTTATAAATTCATGATGCCTTTTTTGGCACTGAAAGGGTTAATGCCACTTGTACAATTCCCCATCATTTTACTTCTGTTATTTCATGTCTTCTATTCTCACCTGTGTAGTTTAAGCCCAGGCCTGACACTGATATAATGTTCTCTTGTACATTCTCATGTATTTTTAACAACAGGGTGATTGTCATAGAAACACAGAAGGGTGGATTGTGCCTGGATGTGCAAGCCAGCACGGTTGAGATTGGCGCGTAAATGAAAAAAGATGGATAGGAAGCAAAGAGACAGAAAAGATACAAATTGTCAAGGTCCCTATTCTAGTCGAAGATGAAGATGGCAACTGATCCGATGTGAATTATCTTTGTTGGAGAAATCGTCATTTCTCTTAAACTACTTGTCCCAGCCATCACCATGTATGGTTGAATATTTGTATGTGTTCGACCAGCATGTAATTTGTGAATGTGCTTCTTAGATATAGGGTTCTCTCTCGCCCAATCATCATATCTGTCTGTTTGATTCTCTCTTGCCTGAGGGCCTTAACATACAACATTTTTATATATTTAAAACTGGCTTTTGCCGGGGGCCGCAGGTGATCCTCATCCGCAAGGTGGCATTTTGTGTCACCGGGTGTTTATCGCTTGTGTGATGTCCTGGTGGTTTACAACTACCTACCTACCTACCTTTGCACACACATGTGTCTACTGTTGCAGCCAGTTACTGAGACTTTGCATGCAAGGATATCCCCACCTGATGTCATTTGCAACCACTGTATTACAGAAACATTCAAATGTTGAACTCCTCAACAAAAGTTGCATGTCAAACTAAAACAGTCAATTACGTGTTCTTTTTTCTGCAGCAATTCCACAAAAATGTTATGGAAAGTGCAGACATCATACAGATCAGCGGAGAGAGTATTTGTACGTTATCCGAGGTTCAGTGTCTCACTCCAAGGTAATAGTTGTACACGTAAATTAATGGGAGATAGAGAGGAGGTTATCTGTACTTTATCTGAGGTTTACTGTCTCACTCACTCAGAGATGATTACAAGTAGATTAGTAGACAGCAGTAGGGCATATGTATTTATCTGAGGGTCACTGTCTTCAGGTTAATAGTTTCACACATACAGATTAAGGGAGAGAATATCTATATGTTGTACTATCAAATGCACACACCTACAAAACGTAATCTGGTAGATCGTCACTAGTGTTAACATATATTTGAAGGGACCGGATTCCCACACCTCATATTGTGGGAAGTGATAACGTCTGTATTGATTGACTGTTTGGAGTTGGAGGCGGTCACTGCAGCTTTCTGCTGGTTAGAGAACACGACACACACACATATGATTGTAACTGACTCAGAAAACATGTTGAGGAAAATCAGGACAGGCATTCTTCGTGCAAAGTGGCTTTACTGCGGAGGACGCAGATGAGAAGTATTGTCTGGATTTTTTAAATCAGGAAGTGCCTGTGTGTTCAGAAATGAACAGGCGGACTGACTGGCTGTGCACGATTTGGTGGAATACTGATGCATGATAGGGCAGGCATGGTTAGTGCCTTGTGGGAGAGCGTGTACATTTCAGAGGAGCAAATGGATCACCACAGTCTGGTGAGATTGATGCGGGGGGAGTGACAAGAGGTTCTGGCAGATGCTGAGGCTCAGAGGAAAGGCTAGACGGGCGTTTAATCAGAATGCTACTGGCACCATTAGAATTGAAACTCTTCACTGAGGGCTAATGGGAATGCCCTGATTGCTGTGATGTCGGTTCTTGACTCAACTCTGATTGACTGTTTGTTATTCTTTCTTTTGTCTTCACATCCTCTTGTGCGTCTCGAGGGATATATACGATTCTGGTTCTCGCTGTTCTGGCGGCCTCGGCCTTAGACACATTGTGCTGTTTTAGAGTTTCTCTGATGTTGCATTTTCATCTTGTTCTTTGTATATCTAATGCTCTACATATTTGTCCTCTTTTGATGTATGGTATGGCATCACAGGGCATTCTGTCTGTGTGAGCAGACCATTTGATTTGCTGTCTTTGTATATACAGACCATTTCATTTGGTGTCTTTGTATATACAGACCATTTCATTTGCTGTCTTTGTATATACAGACCATTTGATTTGCTGTCTTTGTATATACAGACCATTTGATTTGCTGTCTTTGTATATACAGACCATTTCATTTGGTGTCTTTGTATATACAGACCATTTCATTTGGTGTCTTTGTATATACAGACCATTTGATTTGCTGTCTTTGTATATACAGACCATTTGATTTGCTGTCTTTGTATATACAGACCATTTCATTTGGTGTCTTTGTCTATACAGACCATTTGATCTGCTGTCTTTGTATATAATTTATTCATTATTTATTCTATGCATATCTTTCACTTGTGTCTTCATTCCTGTTTTTATCTCTTCTGGTCACTCCTGCAGCCTATCTCACACATCTCATCTCCTTGGTTACTAATTTTCTTTTCTGGTTGGTTGTGAGTGACCAGGCCTGGCACTGGTAGAATAGGATGTTAATGAATATGCTTTGAATGAGATGTTTCTTTGTGCTGTCAGATTGTCTTGTCAGGAAGGGGGGGGGGGGGGGGGGGGGCGCTTAGCTGTCTCAGTACTTGGTTTCCTTTATGCCTTGGATCTCCAGTTGATCGTCTTCACTGAATGGTGTATTTCAACTCAGATGCTTGTTACTACTTGCACTTTCTTTATTTCTGTTTGCATTGTTGTCTACTGTATATGTGATTGTGCTGTTTTCTATGTAATATAGCATGTATTGATTGATCTTGAGCTGTTTTCCATGTCATACAGCACATATTGTTTGTCTTGTCATTGCTTGCAGGGGTCGTTACGATCTCAAAATGTTCCCTGGCTTTCTGCAACTTCACGGCAAGACCTTTGACTACAAGATTCCCTACCAGACCATCCTTCGCTTGTTCCTCTTACCTCACAAAGATGGCAGGCAGATATATTTTGTGGTGAGTGCCTGTTTGAACCTGTGGGTGTGATTTACATATATTAGAGCGGCGGTTCTCAACCTGTGGGTCGAACGACCTTTCACAGGGGTCGCCAAAGACCATCAGAAAACACATGGTGAAAGTTATTGTATGGTTCGGGGTAATGACAACATGAGGAACTGCATTAAAGAGTCGACACATTGAGAAGGTTGAGAATCACTATTAGAGGAATGTGTGGGCTGAATGTGGTTATTACAAATGTGTGAGAGGTCACCCATGTGGCGGAATCTTCTGTCTGTATGAGTGAGAACACTCCAAATCCTGAATTCCAGCCTGAATTATGTGCAACCACATTTCCTGTACAATCATTGTCTCATGTCGAGCATAAAACTTTCCTTAATTGAGCATTTACTGTCCATGTAGCCTGCTCGTAGTACATTGGTAACACTGCTGTCGCTGATTTTTTCCCCTATGAATTTCCTTACCCCGTCACGAACTCCTGCAAACAAGGCTTCACACAAAAGCAACGAGAAATTGGTAATTGTCACAGATATAAATGGAAGAAGATGGCGGTGGCTTGGACATGCTTCAGAATTTGTCCTGACACTGGTGCTCTCCGATGGACGGCGGATTGAAAATGAAGAGGTGGAAAACCTAAAGAAACCCGGGGAAGTACTGAAGAAAGGGAAATGAAGGAATGTAAAATGAGATGGAATGCCAAAGGCAGAAAAATAGCACACTGGCAGCAGTGAAGACCGTTTGTGAAATGGTTTATCTGTCGGCAGTACCACGAAGTGGATATAGATAGTTAGGGCAGATGCTAGTCTAACTAACGAAGAGGGGAGGGGTGGAATCGGACATCACTGGTGATTGATGGAAGACTGGTATTGCACCCACCACTTGGACAGCACAGTCATCCTGGGAGTCTGTGTGTGTGTGTGTGCTTACTTGCTGGGAAAGGGGCAGGTCATCACTAGCGTCCAGTTTATCCAGTCACAGACAAGTGAACAGCCTCTATTGTTTGGATCCTCCAGCAACATGAGAGTGAGAGAAGGGCACTAAGACTGAGACATTTGTGGAAGATGCACTCACAAGCTGTGGTGTTTGTGCAGTCATGTCCCCCGGTGTTTCACCTATAGTTGTCTCCATGCATTCACTGATGTGTGGAGTCAGGTTACCCCGCAGTGTCTCCAGACATTCTCTAATGTGTGACACTATTATCATGTTAACTGTTGCAGGTAAGCCTGGACCCCCCTATCAAGCAAGGCCAGACCAGATACCATTTCCTGATTCTCTTGTTCAACAAGGAGGATGAGATGACTTTGGAACTGAATCTGTCCGAGTGAGTTTATTCAAACACGTCTCCCTCGCTGTAACATGGTTGACTGCTTTCTATCACTAAGTAATTGCTTTTCTTACAAGATGGTCAACTCCTTTTTAATATAGTGTAAACCTGTAACTGACACATTGCCCACTCCTTGCTATGACCATATTCTAATGACCATTGTCAGTTTATGCATTTTTACTCTGCTAACTCATATCTAGTATCTGTTGAAGCTTTTCTTCTCTGCTAACTCATGTCTAGTATCTGTTGAAGCTTTTCTGCTCTGCTAACCCATGTTCTGTGTCTGTTGAAGCATTTCTGCTCTGCTAACTTATGTTCGGTGTCTGTTGAAGCTTTTCTACTCTGCTAACTTATGTCTGGTATCTGTTGAAGCTTTTCTGCTCTACTAACTTATGTCTGGTATCTGTTGAAGCTTTTCTGCTCTACTAACTTATGTCTGGTATCTGTTGAAGCTTTTCTGCTCTACTAACTTATGTCTGGTATCTGTTGAAGCTTTTCTGCTCTACTAACTTATGTCTGGTATCTGTTGAAGCTTTTCTGCTCTACTAACTTATTGTCTGGTATCTGTTGAGCTTTTCTGGCTCTGCTAACTTATGTCTAGTATCTGTTGAAGCTTTTCTGCTCTGCTAACTTATGTCTAGTATCTGTTGAAGCATTTCTGCTCTGCTAACTTATGTCTAGTATCTGTTGAAGCTTTTCTGCTCTGCTAACTCATGTCTAGTATCTGTTGAAGCTTTTCTGCTCTGCTAACTCATGTCTAGTATCTGTTGAAGCTTTTCTACTCTGCTAACTCATGTCTAGTATCTGTTGAAGCTTTTCTGCTCTGCTAACTCATGATCTAGTATCTGTTGAAGCTTTTCTGCTCTGCTAACTCATGTCTAGTATCTGTTGAAGCTTTTCTACTCTGCTAACTCATGTCTAGTATCTGTTAAAGCTTTTCTGCTCTGCTAACTTCATGTCTAGTATCTGTTGAAGCTTTTCTGCTCTGCTAACTCATGTCTAGTATCTGTTGAAGCTTTTCTACTCTGCTAACTCATGTCTAGTATCTGTTGAAACTTGTCTGCTCTGCTAACTCATGTCTAGTATCTGTTGAAGCTTTTCTACTCTGCTAACTCATGTTCGGTGTCTGTTGAAGCTTTTCTACTCTGCTAACTCATGTCTAGTATCTGTTGAAGCTTTTCTGCTCTGCTAACTCGTGTCTAGTATCTGTTGAAAGCTTGTCTGCTCTGCTAACTCATGTCTAGTATCTGTTGAAGCTTTTCTGCTCTGCTAACTCATGTCTAGTATCTATTGAAGCTTTTCTACTCTGCTAACTCATGTCTAGTGTCTGTTAAAGCTTTTCTGCTCTGCTAACTCATGATTGATGTCTGTTGAAACTTTTCTACTCTGCTAACTTATGTCTAGTATCTGTTAAAGCTTTTCTACTTTGCTAACTCATGTCTAGTATCTGTTGAAACTTTTCTGCTCTGCTAACTCATGATTGATGTCTGTTGAAACTTTTCTGCTTACAAACTCATGTTTGGTGTCTGTTGAAGCTGCTCTGCTCTACTTCTACTAATGCATATCTTGGTATCTGGTATTTTCAGGGAAGATATTACATCTAAATATGAGGACAAGCTGCAGAAAGAGATGTCTGGGCTGGAGTTCGAGGTGGTCAGCAAGGTGTTCAAGGCCATCACTGGGAGGAAGATTACAGTTCCGGGCACCTTCATGGGGTGAGTCTTCTGTGGTGGGTCAGTTTGTCCGCTGGAGGGGACAGTTACAAATGTTATGATTTTGCTGTAGCTATGCTAGGATAACGGGAGTCGTCATGGCGGAGCAGCTGTACACTCTCTGCGGATTGGAAGGTTGTGGGTTCTCTTTAAAAAAAAAATGACCCTGGCTCCCAGGTCGGTCCAGCCTTGAGTGAGTACCGCGTGCAGTCCTGGGAAGTAAAGGCGGCCGGCGAGATGCTGACCACATCACCCATCTTGTGCCGATTGGTCAATGAAATATAGGTCTAGCCCTGTATGCCTAAAGGCGTGGAAAAGGGTCCTTTACTTCTTTATTTTTACACCTAATTGTATGTTAGGGTGCCATACCTTGATTTGCCATATTTATGTTGTAGCTACTGTAGAGTGCCTTGAACTTTGCTGCCTGTGTATTGTGAGTACTCTCTCTTGTAGGCTGTTGTCATTGTGTTAACATTTGCTGTATGCATATTGTGAGTACTCTCTCCTGTAAGCTGTTACGTCAACATTTACTGTATATTGTGAGTACTTTCTCCTGTAAGCTGTCATGTTAACATTTACCATATATTGTGAGTACTCTCTCCTGTAAGCTGTTACGTTAACATTTACTGAATATTGTGTGTACTCTTTCCTGTAAGCTGTTATGTTAACATTTACTATATATTGTGAGTACTCTCTCCTTTAAGCTGTAATGTTAACATTTACTATATATTGTGAGTACTCTCTCCTGTAAGCTGTAATGTTAACATTTACTATATATTGTGAGTACTCTCTCCTGTAAGCTGTAATGTTAACATTTACTATATATTGTGAGTACTCTTTCCTGTAAGCTGTAATGTTAACATTTACTATATATTGTGAATACTCTCTCCTGTAAGCTGTAATGTTAACATTTACTGTATATTGTGAGTACTCTCTCCTGTAAGCTGTAATGTTAACATTTACTATATATTGTGAGTACTCTCTCCTGTAAGCTGTAATGTTAACATTTACTATATATATTGTGAGTACTCTTTCCTGTAAGCTGTAATGTTAACATTTACTGTATATTGTGAGTACTCTCTCCTGTAAGCTGTAATGTTAACATTTATCTATATTGTGAGTACTCTCTGTAAGCTGTAATGTTAAACAATTAATTCCTATATATTGTGAGTACTCTCTCCTGTAAGCTGTAATGTTAACATTTTTACTGTATATTGTGAGTGCTCTCTCCTGTAAGCTGTAATGTTAACATTTACTATATATTGTGAGTACTCTCTCCTGTAAGCTGTTACGTTAACATTTACTGTATATTGTGAGTACTCTCTCCTGTAAGCTGTAATGTTAACATTTACTATATATTGTGAGTACTCTCTCCTGTAAGCTGTTACGTTAACATTTACTATATATTGTGAATACTCTCTCCTGTAAGCTGTTATGTCAACATTTACTGTATATTGTGTGTACTCTCTCCTGTAAGCTGTAATGTTAACATTTACTATATATTGTGTGTACTCTCTCCTGTAAGCTGTAATGTTAACATTTACTATATATTGCAGGAATTCAGGTGCGCAGGCTGTCAGCTGTTCATACAAGGCAGCTACAGGTTTGCTGTATCCCCTGGAGCGAGGCTTCATCTTCGTTCACAAACCTCCCCTTCACATCCGCTTCGATGAGGTGGCCAATGTCAACTTCGCTCGAAGTGCTGGCAACACAAGGTCGTTTGACTTTGAGGTGGACACCAAGGCTGGCGCCACGTTCACGTTTGTGGGTGTTGAAAAGTAAGTCACCTATTGTCTCTGATATTTAGGTCTCTTGGTTGTAAAACGTCCGGGCACCCACCAGAATAAGGAAATACCCAGGTTGCCTGTTATTGCTAGTGAAAACTACTCATTTACTCTGACCACTTGAAAGGTTGCTGTGTTGATGTATTCTAAACTGTGATGGTGATAAAATTAATTAATTTGACCACTTAAAAGGTTTCTAATTTGTGTAGATGTAGACTAAACTGTGGTGGTGATAAAGTTAATTAGCTCACATTCCCGTGTGGGTTTTGGGGCCTCATTGTGGGGAAAACAAGAATAGATCCTCCCCAGCACGCATCTCGTTAAAGTCGACTAATTGGGGGCTTCCTTTAGAGTTAGTGTACATATACCTAAGAGACAAGGAACTGGCAGTCTGCATACAAATAAGTAAAATGGATATGCACGTAATACGCACGTTTTGTAACAAGATTAAAGTCCAGAGGTGGATAAACAACCAGTTACAGTCAATGAAAGCAAAGAAGACGAAGAAGACCAGCTCACAAACATAGTCTCGTCTTTGTGTAGATTGAACTTCGCTCATTGTGTTGAGACTCAAACATCTTCATCTGCTCACAGTCTCATCTTTGTGTAGCTTGAACTAGTACTTAACATGGCCAGCATCACTCTTGACTAGACTCAAACCTTTGACTGCTGCTGGCTGCTGTACTATCTGGATAGACTGTTGTGTGTTGTGTAATGTCTATAAAGCACACCTGACTTCTGCTGTACTATCTGGAGAGGCTGTTATGTGTTGTGTAATGTCTATAAAGCACACCTGACTTCTGCTGTACTGTCTGGAGAGGCTGTTATGTGTTGTGTAATGTCTATAAAGCACACCTGACTTCTGCTGTACTATCTGGATAGACTGTTGTGTGTTGTGTAATGTCTATAAAGCACACCTGACTTCTGCTGTACTATCTGGAGAGGCTGTTTTGTGTTGTGTAATGTCTTTAAAGCACACCTGACTTCTGCTGTACTATCTGGATAGACTGTTGTGTGTTGTGTAATGTCTATAAAGCACACCTGACTTCTGCTGTACTGTCTGGAGAGGCTGTTATGTGTTGTGTAAGTCTATAACGCACACCTGACTTCTGCTGTACTATCTGGAGAGGCTGTTTTGTGTTTGTGTAATGTCTATAAAAGCACACCTGACTTCCTGCTGTACTATCTGGAGAGGCTGTTATGTGTTGTGTAATGTCTATAAAGCACACCTGACTTCTGCTGTACTATCTGGAGAGGCTGTTATGTGTTGTGTAATGTCTATAAAGCACACCTGACTTCTGCTGTACTATCTGGAGAGGCTGTTATGTGTTGTGTAATGTCTATGAAGCACACCTTACTGACTGCTGTAGGTAGGTAGGTAGGTAAGTTTTACCCCACAAGCGATAAACACCAGTTGACACAAAGTACCACCATGCAGATGAGGATAACCCGTGGATAAGTCACAGAAACCTTGTTTAGCTATTATGCCATATTTAGGGCCCGGCAAAAGCCAGGGTGGGGGCTTCAGGATGACAAAAAAATGCAACCCACAAGGGGGAACAATAGTTAAGGCTGCTGTACTATCTGGAGAGGCTGTTATATGTTGTGTAGTGTCTATGAAGCACACCTGACTGTTTGGTTGTGATCCCCAGAGATGAGTACGGCCGACTGTACGACTTTGTCAAAGGCAAGAACCTGAGGGTCAAGAACATTGGAGACAAGGGGGTAAGACTTTTTGCTGACTCCATTGTTGTCGTGATTGTTGTCCTCAAGTCGTCTCATCTGTCACCAGCACACTCTTTTATCTGACCTTTGTTGTCGGGATTGTTGTCCTCAAGTCGTCTCATCTTTCACCAGCACACTCTTTTATCTGATCTTTGTTGTCGGGATTGTTGTCCTCAAGTCGTCTCATCTGTCACCAGCACACTCTTGTCTGACCTTTATGCTTGTTGCACACGTCTCATCTGTCACCAGCACACTCTTTTATCTGACCTTTTCTCTTGTATGTTTTTACGACAAGGCTAGTCAGAAGCCAGTATGCTCTGAAACTGATATAGGAAATACAGAATGATGAACCTAACAAGACCTTACCTTTATAATATCTTTGTCTCTCTCACTTGTCTCTCATCTTAGTGTGTAGAAGAGGGGAAAAAACACTTTTTGCTGGGAATGATTCCTACTGCCTCAACTCTCTGTCACACTTCAGTGCAACAAAACCTTCTCCTTCACCACCAGCCAAGAAATGTCAGGTCTGACCATTTGTAGGAAAGGTTGTGCTTTCATTGTGTGGAGATCCTTCAGAAGGACCTCAGTTTCTTCTCCATGGGCTTGAAGTGTTTGACACTAGTTGAAGAACTTGACAGTTTGGGTTCAGTGGATGACCGATGGAGACTTTCTGGCAAGATACAGAATAACCAAATATTAGCAGACAACAGATTTATCCATCACAGTTGTGACAACTGTATTGGGTAGACAACAGATTTATCTATCACAGTTGTGACAACTGTATTGGGCAGACAACAGATTTATCCATCACAGTTGTGACAACTGTATTGGGTAGACAACAGATTTATCTATCACAGTTGTGACAACTGTATTGGGCAGACAACAGATTTATCCATCACAGTTGTTACAACTGTATGAGGCAGACAACAGATTTATCCATCACAGTTGTGGCAACTGTATTGGGCAGACAACAGATTTATCTATCACAGTTGTGACAACTGTATTGGGTAGACAACAGATTTATCCATCACAGTTGTGGCAACTGTATGAGGCAGACAACAGATTTATCCATCACAGTTGTGGCAACTGTATTGGGCAGACAACAGATTTATCCATCACAGTTGTGACAACTGTATTGGGCAGACAACAGATTTATCCATCACAGTTGTGACAACTGTATTGGGCAGACAACAGATTTATCCATCACAGTTTTGACAACTGTATTAGGCAGACAACAGATTTATCCATCACAGTTTTGACAACTGTATTAGGCAGACAACAGATTTATCCATCACAATTGTGACAACTGTATTGGGCAGACAACAGATTTATCCATCACAGTTGTGACAACTGTGTAAGGCAGACAACAGATTTATCCATCACAATTGTGGCATCTAATTTCCACACACAAAAATTATCTGAATCTGTGAGACACTTTCTTACATTCTGTTCTTAATGATTTCTTCTATCCCCATTTGTGTGTGTGTGTGTGGTCAGGGGTAATTTTGGGGAGTAGCTAGAGATACAGAGTTCTGGATGGCTTATGATAGCGACACTTGATGGCTTGTGATAATGATGTTCTTTGCAGACCTCCTGGACAATTATGATGATTGTGGATTTCTGGATAGATGATGATTGTGGATGTGTAGATAGATGATGATAAGGATAGTGGTGAGGATAAAGCACAGTAAAACTTTGATTAACTGTCACTTGTCTAACCGCCGGTTTTCTGCTCTCTATCGTCTAAAAAGTGCGTATTTACAGACATCTTTAAAATTGTTTCCACGGATTAGTGTTACACCCTGCTGTATACAACTGGCAGTGACTGTACTGTATGATGGTGAAGATGACTATACTTGTGGCGGAGGAGTTGCTTGCTCTGGCGTGCCACAAACCCATCACTAGCTAGCAGCTAAAGTATTACACACTGGTCTCATGTTACTGTACATTTATAAAGAAAATTATGTTTGTTTCTGTTGCAGAGCAAGTCAGTCAACTACAATGAGATGTCTGACAGTGACGAGGAGGGCGGTGATCATGATGCCTATCTGGAGAGGATGAAAGCCGAAGGCAAAGACAGAGATGATGATGACAGTGATGACAGCTCAGGTGGGTGTTGTTGTTGCATGCCGCAGTCAAATATAGGGCATCTTCTGTCAGTTGCTGGATGTTTATCTGCTATAGGCTGGTAGGTCCCCTAGTCTGACACACAGTGGCTGGAGATTTATGTGCTATAGGCTGGTAGGTCCCCCAGTCTGACACACAGTGGCTGGAGATTTATGTGCTATAGGCTGGTCGGTCCCCCAGTCTGACACACAGTGGCCAGGTCACAGTACAGATACAGGACCTCTATTCAGAAGTCTGAAGTGTACAGGATATATGGTGCTAATGTAATGTTGTTGTAGGTTAGTCAGCATCTGTCAGGCTGATATAGTCAGCATCACATCTGTTGCCTTTACATCCCAAATCCTTTCCTAGTATCCATTGTAGATGATTGTTATTTGTTAGCCATGCTAGACATTATGTTACCACTTGCTTGAGAGCAGAGAAAGTAAGAATGGATCGTCTTGGGCTGGCAAGAATGGTGCAGCAGCAGGGGGGGGGGGGGGGGGTGAGAGATATGGCCGAGACTCTGCCCTTAGAGGCAAGACAGACATGCTGCTGGCATTACAGAATTAGAACTCTTCACTGGCTGCTGAAGAAGAGGATGGAACGTGTGTGGGAATGTCCTGAGCACTAATGTTTGTTCTGAATACTGGGCAGCTCCTACACAATGTGTGAAATATGCTAACCATGGGGCTACCAATGCTCCCCCCCCCTCACACACACACACATACACTCGAATGCAATGTTCTATGAGATGGTTTGATAGTGTCCGAGATGGTTAGTTGATGTTTGTGCTGATTTGTTGAATGTCCGAGATGGTTGGTTGATGTTTGTGCTGATTTGTTGAATGTCAGAGATGGTTAGTTGATGTTTTTGCTGATTTGTTGAATGTCCGAGATGGTTGGTTGATGTTTGTGCTGATTTGTTGAATGTCAGAGATGGTTGGTTGATGTTTTTGCTGATTTGTTGAATGTCAGAGATAATTGGTTGATGTTTGTGCTGATTTGTTGAATGTCAGAGATGGTTGGTTGGTGTTTTTGCTGATTTGTTGAATGTCAGAGATGGTTGGTTGATGTTTGTGCTGATATGTTGAATGTCAAAGTTGGTTGATGATTTTGCTGATTTGTTGACTGTCAGAGATGGTTGGTTGATGTTTGTGCTGATTTGTTGAATGTCAGAGATGGTTGGTTGATGTTTGTGAGAGCGCTGATTGATGTATATCCCAGATGGTTGGTTTATATCTGAGTGGATTGATGGATTTCAGAGGTGTGCGACTGTTTATGGATCTCTGTTTACTTCCATAGATGTGTCCTTCAACCCTGGAGAGAGTGGCAGTGAGGTCGCTGAAGAGTGAGTATACAGACATTTTGTGTGTGTCTTATATTGTCCCTGCACTGTCACAAACTTTGTCCTGTCATGGTTGGGTTTGATTGTGGCAGCTGCTATCACTGTTGTGTTTGATTGTCATAACTGCTGTCAGTGTTGTGTTTGATTGTCACAACTGCTGTCATGGTTGCGTTTGATTGTCATAATTCTTGCCACGGATGTATGATTGTCACAGATGTGTGATTGTGATAACTGCTGTCACTGATGTATAATTGTATGTCACAACTCCTGTCCTGTCACTGTTGTAGGATTGTGTGTCACAACTCCTGTCTGTCCTACCACTAATGTGTTTGATTCTATGATTGTATGTCACAACTCCTGTTCTGTCACTGTTGTAGGATTGTGTGTCACAACTCCTGTCTGTCCTACCACTAATGTGTTTGATTGTATGTCACAACTCCTGTCCTGTCACTGTTGTATGATTGTGTGTCACAACTCCTGCTTGTTCACTGATCTCTGATTATGTCACAACTCCTGTCTGTCCTTCCACTAATGTGTTTGATTGTGTGATTGTAGATACGACAGCAATCCGCCCACAACCTCCGGCTCAGACTCGGACTACAGTGATGACAGCAGCGCTGGCGAGGAGCAGGGCTCGGATGCTGAAGAGAGAAGAAAAGCCCGGGAGGAGAAGAAGAAAGAGAAAGAGCAGAGGAAGTTAGAAAAAGCAAAGGAGAAGGAGGAAAAGAGGAAAGAAAAGCCAAAGACGGCCAAAACTGTTGTAAGATGATTTAAATTTTTTAATTGTTTAGGAAGTGAAAACGTGAATGAGATGAACCTTATATTAGACATGTTTTTGGTGGGTTGCAGACAAGAATTCTTGAAGATTGTTGTGTGAAAATAATGGTATAATCATTTGCATAGTCCTTGAAAACTGAGATTTTTTTGCTTGTCTGACCACTATGGCTGTGTGGTGGACCGACCACTTTGGCTGTGTGGTGGACCGACCACTATGGCTGTGTGGTGGACCGACCACTTTGGCTGTGTGGTGGACCGACCACTATGGCTGTGTGGTGGACCGACCACTTTGGCTGTGTGGTGGACCGACCACTATGGCTGTGAGGTGAACCCATCCTCAGAAAGCAATTAGGCAAATCAAGTGCTCTGGGTTGGGGAAATATGATGTGTACTGTAGGGTGATTATTTTCTGTCCTGTGTCAGTGCCAGCACCGTCTTCTTGTTACATTGTCAATCGTCTATATGTTTAGGATATTTAATCTGATGGTTGGTGGTGTATCTTCTGTACCAACCGTCCGTGTAGAGATAAGCTCAGCCCAGGGAAAGACATAAACTATACTCATAGGATATCAGGGAAAGATATAAACTATACTCATAGGATATCAGGGAACGATATAAACTATACTCATAGGAGATTAATCTTGTCTGCTCTTGTTCCTGTACTTTAACTAAGGGAAGATGAATCTTGTCTACTCTTGTTCCTGTACTTTAACTAAGGGGATATGAATCTTGTCTACTCTTGTTCCTGTACTTTAACTACGGGGAGATGAATCTTTCCTACTCTTGTTCCTGTACTTTAACTAAGGGGAGATGAATCTTTCCTACTCTTGTTCCTGTACTTTAACTACGGGGATATGAATCTTGTCTACTCTTGTTCCTGTACTTTAACTACGGGGATATGAATCTTGTCTACTCTTGTTCCTGTACTTTAACTACGGGGAGATGAATCTTGTCTACTCTTGTTCCTGTACTTTAACTACGGGGAGATGAATCTTGTCTACTCTTGTTCCTGTACTTTAACTACGGGGATATGAATCTTGTCTACTCTTGTTCCTGTACTTTAACTACGGGGAGATGAATCTTGTCTACTCTTGTTTCCTGTACTTTAACTACGGGGAGATGAATCTTGTCTACTCTTGTTCCTGTACTTTAACTACGGGGATATGAATCTTGTCTACTCTTGTTCCTGTACTTTAACTAAGGGGAGATGAATCTTGTCTACTCTTGTTCCTGTACTTTAACTAAGGGGAGATGAATCTTTCCTGCTCTTGTTCCTGTACTTTAACTACGGGGAGATGAATCTTGTCTACTCTTGTTCCTGTACTTTAACTACGGGGAGATGAATCTTGTCTACTCTTGTTCCTGTACTTTAACTACGGGGATATGAATCTTGTCTACTCTTGTTCCTGTACTTTAACTACGGGGAGATGAATCTTGTCTACTCTTGTTCCTGTACTTTAACTACGGGGAGATGAATCTTGTCTACTCTTGTTCCTGTACTTTAACTACGGGGATATGAATCTTGTCTACTCTTGTTCCTGTACTTTAACTACGGGGAGATGAATCTTTCCTGCTCTTGTTCCTGTACTTTAACTACGGGGAGATGAATCTTGTCTACTCTTGTTCCTGTACTTTAACTAAGGGGATATGAATCTTGTCTACTCTTGTTCCTGTACTTTAACTAAGGGGAGATGAATCTTGTCTACTCTTGTTCCTGTACTTTAACTACGGGGATATGAATCTTGTCTACTCTTGTTCCTGTACTTTAACTACGGGGAGATGAATCTTGTCTACTCTTGTTCCTGTACTTTAACTACGGGGAGATGAATCTTGTCTACTCTTGTTCCTGTACTTTAACTACGGGGAGATGAATCTTGTCTACTCTTGTTCCTGTACTTTAACTACGGGGAGATGAATCTTGTCTACTCTTGTTCCTGTACTTTAACTACGGGGATATGAATCTTGTCTACTCTTGTTCCTGTACTTTAACTACGGGGAGATGAATCTTGTCTACTCTTGTTCCTGTACTTTAACTAAGGGGAGATGAATCTTTCCTGCTCTTGTTCCTGTACTTTAACTACGGGGATATGAATCTTGTCTACTCTTGTTCCTGTACTTTAACTACGGGAAGATGAATCTTTCCTGCTCTTGTTCCTGTACTTTAACTACGGGGAGATGAATCTTGTCTACTCTTGTTCCTGTACTTTAACTACGGGGAGATGAATCTTGTCTACTCTTGTTCCTGTACCTTAACTTCGGGGATATGAATCTTTCCTGCTCTTGTTCCTGTACTTTAACTTCGGGGATATGAATCTTTCCTGCTCTTGTTTCTATACTTCAACTGCGGGTAGATAAATTATTTTTAGTCTTGCTCCTGTATTTTAACTACTGTGAGATATATTTTTTTTCTGGTCTTGTTTCCACAGAAAGAGCCGGGCACCCGCAAGAGGAAGATGGGCAAGGGTAAAGATAAAGATCCGAACCGGCCCAAACGACCACAGTCTGCTTACTTCCTTTGGCTGGGCGAGCACAGGGAGCAGATCAAGGAAGAGAACCCTGGCATATCGGTGACAGATCTGTCCAAGCGAGCTGGCGAGATGTGGAAAGAGGTCACAGATAAAACAGTAAGTTTGTCGTTGTCACAATAGTTCAGGCGCCAAAACAGCAGATGTCAGTGTTGTTGATTGTACGTCTTCTTTTTAGTGTTCATCAGCTGTAAACTCTGGCAGACAGTTCTGGTTGTTTGTCCACTTCTGGATCTTAGTCCTGTTCCAAAACTTAAATTCTGCCAACACAATTGTTTTACAGATCTGGTCTACTTTAATGCAGACTGTTGGTTCCTCGCCACTCAGGTAGATGCACTCTGACTACAGGGGGGGGGGGGGAAGTTCCTAATTAGTCACCTTTTAAGATATTCTTTTTAGGCGAGCAGTAGAATTATCCCCCCATTCTGGAACCCACATGTGGAGGACTGTACATGATTATTGCTGGATAGTTCAGTTGCTGGGACAACGGATGCAAAAGTTGTTACTGACCATGCATGATTGTAGGATAGTTCAGTTGCTGGGACAACGGATGCAAAAGTTGTTACTGACCATGTATGATTGTAGGATAGTTCAGTCCCTAGGACAGCAGATTTGAAAGTTTTTACTGACCATGTGTGATTGTAGGAAAGTTCAGTCCCCAGAGCTGTTGATGTGCTCTCAGTTCATGATTAAATGACAGTTCAGTCTTCGGATCTGTTTATGTAAAAGCCTGCTGTCATTTGTACATGACTAAACACTTTTATTGGAACAGAGGCTGTTTACCCTGTCTTTGCCATTTCCCTGAGTTCAGCTTTTTTCCCCCCAGCGTATGACATAATAATAATATGTATGAGTATGGGGCGCAATTTCCCCCCCCCCCCATGTCCCGGAGTCCGCAGTGGGAGAATCTAGTATCAGCAGTTATAAAATACAGAAGGTGTCTATTTGTTGTTATTCATTTCATTCATGTATATATATATATATATATATATATATATATATATATATATATATATATATATATATATATATATATATATATATATATATATATATATATATATATATATATATATATATATATATATATATATATATATATATATATATATATACGAGACAGAAGGTTACTATACATGGTTATTCGCTTTCATTCATATATTTTAATAATATACATCCAATAGAGAGAGAGAAGGTCTAAAGTTTAAAAACTTACAGTGGAGGTTATAGATGTTCAGTATAGCCGCCGTCTGCTGCTCGGCAAACACTACCTGGTATCTGACTCATCCCACAGGCGGAAAGGCATCTCTTGCATAACTGAGTTCATTGCTGCTGTGATACGGTCCTACAGGTTGGCAACTGCACTTTAGCGGTATCATCCCACTGTAGACCTTCCCATCTGCCTTGTATGTATATTATTTATATATAAAGTAAATTCAAGGAAATACGCATGAATGAAAATGTATCCTTCATTTTGAGCAACTCTGTAATCTGGACACATTCTGAGAAAACACAACAATTCACAAAACAGTCACTGAAGTGGAAAATTAACTGAGAAGAAGCCAGGGCATACAAGAGAGGCTCTGCAGGGCATACAAGAGAGGCTCTGCAGAGCATACAAGAGAGGCTCTGCAGGGCATACAAGAGAGCTTTGCAGGGCATACAAGAGAGGCTCTGCAGGGGATACAAGAGAAGCTCTGCAGGGCATACAAGAGAGGCTCTGCAGGGCATACAAGAGAGGCTCTGCAGGGGATACAAGAGAGGCTCTGCAGGGCATACAAGAGAGGCTCTGCAGGGCATACAAGAGAGGCTCTGCAGGGGATGTTGATGAGAGAGGCCAGAGATGCCCGACTGGATTCCAAGAGACAGTTTTGAAAGGATTGCACAAGATAGAATAGAGCTAAGAAATCATGAGCCTTCTTTTTTATAACAGGATGGTGTTAAAGCTGGTTTGATGAAACTTTGTCCTCACCCACATTTTCTAGAATGTGTTGTTTAAAAAGACCCGCTATATCTGTGGGTGTATACCCCCCATGTGTGTGCACAAATAAAGTACCACATATACCTGGTTCACACTTGAACAGTTTGTGAAATTGGCTGTGAACCCTGTATAAATAATTATGTACAAATACATACCATTGCATTGTTTTTCCACATTAATTGTTTAATTTTCTGATAATGTGCTGCATCTTTCCTTGTCGAAACCAGGAATGGGAGGAGAAGGCCAAGGAGGCTAAGGCAGAATACCAGAAAGCCATGGAAGAATACAACAAGAACAAGCCATCTGACAGCGAAGGAGAGGAGGAGGAAGCAGCACCAAAATCTGCACCTAAATCAAAATCAAAAAGCTCTCCAAAGAAAAAGGTAATGTTATACTGTATGGAGTTGTGTGTACACTACAACACTACCATAGGGATGTATGGTACACCTGCCACCTGGGTGTGTATGGTACAGATATGACTGCCACACAGGTGTGTAAGGTACACAGATATGACTACCACCCGAGTATTCAGTCTATAGCAGAACCAGTTAGGACCAAGAATGAAGTTTCTCCCTGCCATAGCACAAAGCTTGGCCTGTATTCTAGAGAACATGTCCCTGCAGCTGAACCCTTGCTCAGCCTGCTTTGTTTACTCTAAAGGAAAGTAAAACCAATGTATGTTGAATCAAGAATTGACATAACTCCCATTAACGCTATGTCCCCATTTTTAGCAGCAAGAACAGAGTTCTAATTCTGGTGGTACCAGTAACTGTCTTATTGTATTTGAATCTCGTCTTTCCCTTGAGTGTTAAGCATCGGCCAGATCTCCTGGTCACTCCTCGCATCCATTTTCCTCACACCATGTCTGTCCGCACTGTTCACTCACTACCAAAGGATATCCGCTATCCCTACCGACGGTCAGCCTATGGATCATGCTGAAATTATCAGTGCCCTCAGAGAAATGGGAAGGATAGAGGACTTTGGTGGCAGTGAATCCACATCACTCGCCAGAATGGCAGACTTGGGAATTAAGATCGGCACAGCAAAAAACGAGGCGCACACCAGACACGCCAGAAGACTTGTTAATCAACATAGAACTGGTACTATTAGCCATCGGACGTTGGGGTTGATACTGAGGGGAGGATCTGAGCACCTATGGACATGTCCGGAGTGCAATGAGGATAACCCAACTAACTAACTAACTAACTAACTAACTAACTGACTGACTGACCCCTACAGCATCTAGCTGGTCCTGCATCAGTTCACCACCAAGTGGTGCAGAAACAGCCTGTCTATCTTGCTGTTCAGTTCCCAAAACAGCGGCATCACCTGGAGAAAATATCTGAAGGACGCTGAAGACCAGTGACCTCTAAAGCCATACTTGCCAGTCTGCAGGGAGCATAGCTGTGGCCAGCTTTCTGAACATGCTCTCTGAGTCAGTTACCTCTATGATATTTATGCACAGCTGGCCCTTGAGCCATTGGGTGGCGCCACTGACTGCCCCCACCTCCATTCTCAAACTAGATGCTGTGGTATCATATGCCAGGCTTTGTTTGCACTAAGCAACATCAATTCACTTTTGCTATGAACCTTCACACATTACGTCTGCTTGCCAACACAGAGCCATCTGTATAGATAACCACGTTACCTGTATATGAATTGTCATGAGTCTGTTGTTGTTTTCTGATTCTGCAGCACCTGCTGGCCGGTCCCTGCACTCATGGCTAGTGTAATTAGAAACCAGACAAATCTGACTGTTGGTGGGACACTCTGACCCACTTGTCTCCTTGCCTAATATTATCAAGCATGAATGCGTCTCTAATTGAATCTTCAGCATCTGCCATCCAAGTCCTTCCTCTGTTTAGTCTGTGACCCTTAGCTCTTCTCACAGCTTCATGCAGGAGGCTTTCATATGTACGGTTACTGTGAGATATGACCTTGCTGGCAGCAATTTGAGTCTGTCTGTGATAGTCGGCAGTGCGAGCTTCCTTCTGAGACAAGCTGCCAGCCAAGGCTAAGGGTCTGGTCTGCCCTACCATAACATTATGTTTAGGTTGCATTTCCTCATGCTAGGATAGGGCTACTGTCCTCTCCAATGTTCTCATCTCCCTAAAATCATTGGTACAGTGTGGGAAGTCAAGTATGCATGTGTATAGTATATTACTTCTACATCTATGTATGGCACAGTGTGGGAAGTCAGGTTCTGTTTGCACTACATTTGTAAAACAAAGTTATGTACTCATTTCTGTAATATAAAGCATTGCTGTTTACACATAGCTGTAGTAGAAGGCTGTTTAATTATATCCATAGTACAATGCTATTTGCACATATATATTGGTTAATGAATGAAAATGGTGAATTACTCACCAGCTTCTGTCATTGAATCTGCACAACAAAAGGAAATGTTTTTATCATACAAATGTACGCTGCAGATCAACAGATGATGAAAAGACACCAGACAAGACATACAATGACATATCTGTCACTAGTGTCATCAGAGGCACACCTTAAAACACATCCCAAAAAAAAATCTAGATGCCAAAATTGGGAGGGATACGGTTTTAGTTGCAAGAGATAGCAAATGATAGGATGGTTTGGGGTAAGTTGGTCTGCTACTTCATGTTCACCGGCTGTAAACTCCGGTGAAAAGTTCTGGTTGTTCACCCCTTCCAAACAGTAATATTGATCCAGAACTTGAGCTTTGCATGCACATCCATTTTACAGATTTGGCTTATTTTGTGTGCAGACTGTTGGTTCTTAGCCAGTCGTATGCCCCCAATTAGTTGACTCATAAGACATAGTTGTTAGGGAAGCAGCGGGTCTGTTCTTGTTTCTCCCATAATGGGCCCCGGAACCCACACGGGAAATGTTTAGATATCATGTCACATAGCCATGCAGTACCTGATGTTTGAGTCATTTGTCCATGCCATCTCATAGGTTGAAACAAGTGCTGGAGGTGGCGGTGGCGGAAGCGCCGGGTTTAAGAGTAAAGAATACATCTCCAGCTCTGGCTCGCTGTCCAGCAGCTCTGAGGGCAGTGACAAGCCGCTGAAGAAGATTGCCAAGAAGACCAAGAAGAAGGAGGAGGAGGAGAGTCCGGTGAAGTCTGAGGCTGGCTCAAGGAAGGGGTCTGATAATGAGTCCATGAAGTCGGAGAAGGCATCAGAAGCTGAGAGTGCAGAAGAGGTCAGTACACAGCTGTCTGGTCTAGAGAGAGCAGATAGCAGTGGTCATGATTGTCTCTTCTATCATCTGCTGTTTTATTATTGTTACCTGTATTATTGTTTGTTGCTCACCTGTCTCAGGTGTGTTTTTTCCCTGCCTTCAGTATTTTCCCTTTGAGCATAACATCTGATAAAATCAAATGCTCTGTCTCATAACACCAGGATCACAATATATAAAACACAGAGACAAGCAGTGTTTCTATTTGGCTATGAAACCTAAAGTGTAACTAAAAGAGATAAAACCATATCTTATTACACATTGTTGAGAATAGTCTTGTGTAGGCAGGTGGCAGAGACAAAAACTGCTTGCACTAAACAGTTGAAATGGAAAGGTCATGAACTTAGATGAAAGATAACATACAGGCAGACTTGCAAACACAGACTTGTCACCATCTGGAAAGAGAAGCTCAGCCGTGGAGATAAATGGGGGCAGCTGACATCTGCGACAGTGAACCTTAAGGGCTCGGAATCCTGAAGAAAACCACAAAATATTTCCCCTCACATAGGGCACATTTTTTTCGTTTTCTTCGTCTGGTTTAAAAATTTTTTTATTTTAGGAAAGGAACAAAGTTATGTTTTTCACTTATCCCTGTTATTTCATTAGTTTTGTCAAGTGGTTTTGATGAATCATATTGTAACTCCTGCATGTCTCAATGTGTACCTGGGCATTTTTCTCCTCTGTCCATGATATTGTCAACATTCTCCTCTGTTCATGATATTGTCAACATTCTCCTCTGTCCATGATATTCTCAACATTCCACTCAATCCATGATATTGTCAACATTCTCCTCTGTCCATGATATTCTCAACATTCTCCTCTGTCCATGATATTCTCAACATTCTCCTTTGTGCATGATATTCTCAACATTCTCCTCTGTCCATGATATTCTCAACATTCTCCTCTGTCCATGATATTCTCAACATTCTCCTCTGTCCATGATATTCTCAACATTCTACTCTGTCCATGATATTCTCAACATTCTCCTCTGTCCATGATATTCTCAACATTTCTCCATGATATTCTCACATTCTTCTCTGTCCATGATATTCTCAATTTCTCCTCTGTCCATGATATTCTCAACATTCTCCTCTGTCCATGATATTCTCAACATTCTCCTCTGTCCATGATATTCTCAACATTCTCCTCTGTCCATGATATTCTCAACATTCTCCTGTCCATGATATTCTCAACATTCTCCTCTGTCCATGATATTCTCAACATTCTCCTCTGTCCATGATATTCTCAACATTCTTCTCTCTCCATGATATTCTCAATGATATTCTCAACATTCTCCTTTGTGCATGATATTCTCAACATTCTCCTCTGTCCATGATATTCTCAACATTCTCCTCTGTCCATGATATTCTCAACATTCTTCTCTGTCCATGATATTCTCAACATTCTTCTCTGTCCATGATATTCTCAACATTCTTCTTCTGTCCATGATATTCTCAACATTCTTCTCTGTCCATGATATTCTCAACATTCTTCTCTGTCCATGATATTCTCAACATTCTCCTCTGTCCATGATATTCTCAACATGTCTTCAACTCTCTCTGTCCATGATATTCTCAACATTCTTCTCTGTCCATGATATTCTCAACATTCTTCTCTGTCCATGATATTCTCAACATTCTTCCTCTGTCCATGATATTCTCAAACATTCTTCCTCTGTCCATGATATTCTCAACATTCTTCTCTGTCCATGATATTCTCAACATTTCTCCTCTGTCCATGATATTCTCATTCTCCTCTGTCCATGATATTCATTCTCCCTCTGTCCATGATATTCTCAACATTCTTCTCTGTCCATGTCCATGATATTCTCCACATATCTCAACATTCTTCTCTGTCCATGATATTCTCAACATTCTTCTCTGTCCATGATATTCTCAACAACATTCATGATATTCTCACATTCTTCTGTCCATGATATTCTCAACATTCTTCTCTGTCCATGATATTCTCAACATTCTTCTCTGTCCATGATATTCTCAACATTCTTCTCTGTCCATGATATTCTCAAACATTCTCATTCTCTGTCCATGATATTCTCAACATTCTTCTCTGTCCATGATATTCTCAACAACATTCTCTCAACATTCTGTCCATGATATATTCTCCAACATTCTCCTTGTCCATGATATTCTCAACATTCTCCTCTGTCCATGATATTCTCAACATTCTTCCTCTGTCCATGATATTCTCAACATTCTCCTCTGTCCATGATATTCTCAACATTCTCCTCTGTCCATGATATTCTCAACATTTTCCTTTGTGCATTATATTCTCAACATTCTCCTTTGTGCATGATATTCTCAACATTCTCCTCTGTCCATGATATTCTCAACATTCTTCTCTGTCCATGATATTCTCAACATTCTTCTCTGTCCATGATATTCTCAACATTCTTCTCTGTCCACTCTGTCCATGATATTCTCAACATTCCTCTCTGTCATGTCCATGATATATTCTCAACATTCTGCTCTGTCCCATGATATTCTCTGTCCAACATTCCACTCTGTCCATGATATTCTTCAACATTCTCCTCTGTCCATGATATTCTCAACATTCTCCTCTGTCCATGATATTCTCAAACATCCATGATATTCTTAACATTCTTTGTCCATGATATATTCTCAACATTCTCCTCTGTCCATGATATTCTCAACATTCTCCTCTGTCCATGATATTCTCAACATTCTCCTCTGTCCATGATATTCTCAACATTCCACTCTGTCCATGATATTCTCAACATTCTCCTTTGTGCATTATATTCTCAACATTCTCCTTTGTGCATGATATTCTCAACATTCTCCTCTGTCCATGGTATTCTCAACATTCTCCTCTGTCCATGATATTCTCAACATTCTTCTCTGTCCATGATATTCTCAACATTCCTCTCTGTCCATGATATTCTCAACATTCCACTCTGTCCATGATATTCTCAACATTCTCCTCTGTCCATGATATTCTCAACATTCTGCTCTGTCCATGATATTCTCAACATTCTGCTCTGTCCATGATATTCTCAACATTCTGCTCTGTCCATGATATTCTCAACATTCCGCTCTGTCCATGATATTGTCAACATTCTCCTCTGTCCATGATATTCTCAACATTCTCCTCTGTCCATGATATTCTCAACATTCTCCTCTGTCCATGATATTCTCAACATTCTCCTCTGTCCATGATATTCCCAACATTCCGCTCTGTCCATGATATTCTCAACATTCTGCTCTGTCCATGATATTCTCAACATTCCGCTCTGTCCATGATATTCTCAACATTCCACTCTATCCATGATATTCTCAACATTCCGCTCTGTCCATGATATTCTCAACATTCTCCTCTGTCCATGATATTCTCAACATTCCGCTCTGTCCATGATATTCTCAACATTCTGCTCTGTCCATGATATTCTCAACATTCTGCTCTATCCATGATATTCTTAACATGCTCCTTTATCCATGATATTCTCAGCATTTTCCTTTGTGTATTGTATTCTCAGCATTCTCCTCTGTCCATGATATTGTCAACATTCTGCACTTCTCACAACACATTGTCTGCCATTTTCACATTATCCTGTAGTTTTTGACAGATTGTCAAGTATTCTAATGACTCATTGTCCAATATTTTCAAGCATTTTCTTTCTTTTATTAAACAGGAGAAGAAAGAAGAGTCTGGATCTGCAGCATCGTCAGCAAAAGAGGAATCAGGATCTGCCTCAGAATAAATGATTATTTAGGTTGTGTCCGGGCTGTCGGTGTTAGCTCAGTTGTCTCTTCACCACACATTGGAAGCTGTTGTATTTGGCACATTCATGTTCTCATTGGTGATTTGTGATGTTTTCTCACATTCTCGCCTGAATGCTGTTGTTTTATTCATAGCCATTTCAGTGTGGAATTTCACATTGGAATATTCTCATGCAGAGAAAATGACAAAGTATCCTCATGTGGATGTTTCAAAAACCTACATCTTCTATCTGATGTCAAGCGAACCCTCAGCTTGTCACAGACAGATCACGGAGGCCATGTTTTATGAGATGTCTGTCTATCTCTCACATCTTATACTCAGCACTCTCAAGGGAAGGAGTGGCAGACTTTTTTTTGTTTTTCATTGTTGAATCAGCTTCATTCATTACTTAAATACATACGTTTGTTGCATACACAGGCACACCTAATGTTTGGAACCAAAATAAAATATATGCCAAGTTAGGTGTCATGTACTTTTTTTTTTTCTTCGTATGTGGTTTTTGTTATTGTTGTTGTTCCTTCATATTTAGTTTGGTTTTGTCTTGGGGTTGTATTGGAACCTTCCAGAGCAGAAGATCTGGCTTGAAAAAATTTATCTTGGCTGCAAAATAAATTGGTGTACCCTGACAGTTGTCATGCAGTGGAGAAAAGTACATCTGTGCTGCAAGTTCAAGAGGGAATGGTAACAATATTTGTCACTCTTGGTTAAGCAGGGACAGTAACTGGTTATATCTCTAGGGTTGAGGAGGAGTGCCCTGGACACCTGTCTGCAATACGCCTGACTTTTGTGAGTAGAGCCCAGTTGGTTTAGTTGTTCCCCTATATTGGCTCGGTTATGATTAGCTGGATTTTCTTAATAGTTTCTTGTGGAATGAGGCAACCAGCCTTCCTTTATAGCCCCGTATGGCATGCATGGTAGGTTCAGTATTACTGTTGTGTCCTAAATGGATCCCTGTAACATGTGGACACCTGTATACCCGACAGGGTTTTGTAAAAGATAGTGGAGTGTGAAACCTTTGCACATTGTGGGCTACACAGGAAGTGCTCACATGGGGATATGCTGTCTTGGATATGCAGGGTTATGAGGAAATGAAAAGAAAGGGGGGGGGGGGGGGGGGGGAGGAAATGTTTGGCTACAAAAGTGGTAGCCGTAGAAATGCGCAAGAAAGCAGTCATTCTAAGATTTCCCTGAAATGATATTTTCATACTGGCTTGGCCCTGTAACTAGTTGTTGGAGGACAACCTGGGACTTTGTACCCAGATCCCCCTAACCTCACAACAGTTATCTACAGAGGCGGGCGGATATATATACATATCCATATTTACACATAAAGGAAAATTTGGCAAAAGACAGTAACTGGAGGAAGAAGAGCACACGAGGAGGAGAGGTAACAGGAGAAGCTTGTTGCAATAAGGGGAAAAAACCCGTTAAAGTGCTATATATATATATGCAGTGGTGTAGTGATTAGTCGCTCCACCTTCCGGACTACATGATGTGGTTCAAATCCGAATCAAGTCGGTTTTTTCTTGAAAAATGACCAAGCATAAAATGGGTACCAGGTTATTTCCTGGGAAGTAAAGGTGCCTGGTGTGATGTTGGCCTCATTACCCACTAAATGCTGATAGGTCTATAAAATATAGGTCTAGCCCTATAGACCCAATACACCTGAAGACGTGAAAAAAGGCTACTTTTAACTTTGCCCAATTTCTCTATTATGTCTTGTGAGCAAAGGTAGGGAACAACGAGTACATTGGATGCGCAACATTTGGAGGACCCGAGGGGCATGAAAGCTCATCAGGGGGACCTGTGAGGCAATGACCATGAGGAATGAATACATTTGGTAGACTTACTAGGAAAAGAACCAGGCGAAGACAGATTTATAACAGATATATCATCTGGATCACTTAACTACGTGGCATAATTATAACAAGAACACAGGCTAGACTACAGAGATTGTGCAAAATAACGAACTGTTATCCGCCAACTTCATTAGACATGGGACAAAATAAGCGTTAAGGTCTACTGTGTTCGTAAATTGTTTCTGTGCTTGTTATTCGACTTATGCTTCGTTAATATAAAGTTCTGTAACCTATGGTGCAACTTCAATGGTTTGAAATTAATTATGTCCATATTCAAAAGTTGTGGATTTCAAGCTGTATGATAGACATGATAAATAAGACACTGGGGGGGGGGGGGGGGGGGGGGGGGGGGGGGGGGGGGGGGGGGGGAGGGGGGGGGGGGGGGGGGGGGGGGGGGGGGGGTTGGTGCCTAGTTGACCATGTTCTTGTTTTCATGGTGAGGCGTACACTCCGTCTGGAGGGGACAGGTTCGATTCCTGGCACGGTAACTATATATTTCGATTTTTATGTTGTCTAGTGTGTTCTTCTATCTTTCTATGAGTGCCCGATCATTACATTTTCGGTTACTTTATTAATAGAAATGGCACATGATGATGATATTCCACTCGTTTCCCTGGTTAATACAAAAATGAGAATACATCTACACGAAAGAATCTCTGATCACGTGATAGAAGAGTCCTTAGCAATCAACATGGCCGCCTTTGTTTGTGTCAGTTTGTGTGAAATTTGATCGGATCTTCACGAAACAAAACAAACACAGTTGTGACTCGATTACATCAACATTGCTACAAATACAGAACCATATAAACTGAGTAAAATCAGAATCCACCAAGGAGGTAACGGGGAAAATATTTGTAAAGCTTGTTTCGTAAATGTTAGCCGTTATCTTACAAACTAAACACGATGGCCTGAATTTTCAGGGGTGGTAGGTAGACAGCTATTATGATGTCCTAGGATTAATTACAAGCATGTAGGTTCGAATCTCAGAATATGATCATATGGCTAACATTTCAACATTACAGTTGGAAGGAGCTGTCTGCTACCTTCGTGTTCCCGACATGTCCTCAAGTGTTTCAGTTTCATATCGTGCTATACCGCAGGGGTTTATTGGTTTGGGCAAGTGGTGAGACATGATTCGATTGCAAAGATTGTACTTCAAAGAACATTGGGAGTAGTCAAAGAAGAGGATGGCAAAGAAGAACCTGCAATGACAATATTAAGAATGGACAGGACTAAGTTATCATTCACTTATTCATCTAGCAGAAGACAGAGAAAGATGGCCGGTTTATTGTGCTGGTGCTTTCATCCATACACGAACCTAACGGGTCAAGGGTTATGTTATACCGGAGGGATTTTAAAACTAAACTGTAAAAAATTAATTTCCACATTTGTGTTTTCTAAAAAAAAAAACACGAAAACATCCTGATCATTGACATAATATGTAGAGTGTACAGTGGTCACATCTGGAGGACGTGCACAGCACCACTGTGTAATGACCTGGCATATCACCGGACCTCTTGATAAGTAGCAGATAAAGGCAGAAAAAAAGGGACTTTCAGTGCAAGTTGCAAAACCCAAGTTCAAAATTTAAAAAAAAAAAAAACTGCTAAACTCCAAAAGAGAGTTCTTTCGATGAAATATATACAGAGAAAAAAAAAACCCCCCCCCCCCCCCTCAAAAAAAAATTCAAAGACAAGAACGTCCACTTCACTGAAATCACTGCACTGGGTTTTCTTCACAGCTCCTGGGATTTCCCTAATACAGTGTGGTCAGTTACCCAACTCTGGTCACCTAGAACTTTAGGTTTGTTGGGCACTGAAACAGCTGATTTCACATATGTGGAGCCAGCACTATAATAGCTGATCTCACATGTGTGGAGCCAGCACTAAAACAGCTGATCTCACATATTTGGAGGGAGCACTAAAACAGCTGATCTCACATATTTGGAGCCAGCACTAAAACAGCTGATCTCACATATGTGGAGCCAGCACTAAAACAGCTGATCTCACATATTTGGAGCCAGCACTAAAACAGCTGATCTCACATATTTGGAGCCAGCACTAAAACAGCTGATCTCACATATGTGGAGCCAGCACTAAAACAGCTGATCTCACATATTTGGAGCCAGCACTAAAACAGCTGATCTCACATATTTGGAGCGAGCACTAAAACAGCTGATCTCACATATGTGGAGCCAGCACTAAAACAGCTGATCTCACATATGTGAAGCCAGCACTAAAACAGCTGATCTCACATATGTGGAGCCAGCACTAAAACAGCTGATCTCACATATGTGGAGCCAGCACTAAAACAGCTGATCTCACATATGTGAAGCCAGCACTAAAACAGCTGATCTCACATATTTGGAGCCAGCACTAAAACAGCTGATCTCACATATTTGGAGCCAGCACTGAAACAGCTGATCTCACATATGTGGAGCCAGCACTAAAACAGCTGATCTCACATATGTGAAGCCAGCACTAAAACAGCTGATCTCACATATGTGGAGCCAGCACTAAAACAGCTGATCTCACATATGTGAAGCCAGCACTAAAACAGCTGATCTCACATATGTGGAGCCAGCACTAAAACAGCTGATCTCACATATGTGGAGCCAGCACTAAAACAGCTGATCTCACATATGTGAAGCCAGCACTAAAACAGCTGATCTCACATATGTGGAGCCAGCACTAAAACAGCTGATCTCACATATGTGGAGCCAGCACTAAAACAGCTGATCTCACATATGTGAAGCCAGCACTAAAACAGCTGATCTCACATATTTGGAGCCAGCACTAAAACAGCTGATCTCACATATTTGGAGCCAGCACTGAAACAGCTGATCTCACATATGTGGAGCCAGCACTAAAACAGCTGATCTCACATATGTGAAGCCAGCACTAAAACAGCTGATCTCACATATTTGGAGCCAGCACTAAAACAGCTGATCTCACATAATTTGAGCCAGCTTTGCCTTTATCTGTATTTTGTAAACATATGTTTGATCCTTGCTTAAGGCTTTAACAAACTCCTTCTAAAGGCTAAGACCTGAGGATAACTTAACAGACTACTATTAACTGTGTTATTACTTAATAAAATCATTATTCTGTTATTTTTGGGA